CTGAATTTGGAGCATGTCGCTAACTTGTATGGCAGTGATTCCGCATGTCGCTAACTTGTATGGCAGTGATGCCATACAAGTTAGCGACATGCGGAATACCGCCCTGCTGATGAGTACCAAAAGTGTACCCCGATAAAGTTTTTAATTATTGAAGAGTTTCTAATATGTCTACACTCAACGAAGACTGCTTTGTCAACTGATCACATTTTGGGTAAATCATAATATAACCCGGCTATGCAGACGTGGGGGAAATTTGTTTACAGCTGCTGTCACGTTTTGTTTACTTGTATAGCCTGCGCCAACGAAAAAAATACACGATGGCTACGGGGCGATTCGCCTCCTAAACCTCCGAAATCGCCACAGTAAATATCAAGACGAGGGCGAACAAAATTGATATATAATGAAAAATCGCCCCCGCCATAAATTGATATTCCCTGGGAACTAATAAATCAATTTATTGATTTGTCTGACTGAACTCTCCGTTCCAACTACCAACTCCAAAACTAGAAATTTCCATCAACATTTTAAAAGTTTTGTGATTGCAGCGGCGGATCGGCGGTCGTACCTACTGCTGTAGCTAGATCGGTATCCGCCTAGCCTAAGCACGCGGCCAGGCCCGCGCCCCCGATGTAAATACGGAGTACAGATTCACAATACACAGAAACTAGCTACTCCAGTGCAGCGCGAGCCCGCACGAGTATGAGTATGAAGCAAATAAGTATTTGCGAGTGACGAGTGCTGAACTGCTAGCGACCAATTTTGTTCGTAATATGTTTATATAGTCTTTTTTCCGACCCGAATTTTTATCATGGACAGTGCAATCCCATTAAAAATAATGTTATTCCGTCTCAAATTGTGTTATTTATAACTTAAAACCATTAAATGCGAGTATATTTTTACTGTTGTCCCACATACCGATATATTTGTTGTAACGAAACGTGCAAAATCAATGCCAGATTTTTTCCTGTAAAATCGGTATAAAGCTAATTTCGTAGACAGAAATTGAATTTTGTTATAAAAACCCCGTAAATAAATATATAAATGATGTCCCTATACCTCAGCATTTTTCTTACAACTGTTTAATTAAATTATATTATTTATATACTTGGCCCATTGTCGTTGATGCCTGCGCCGCGCCTGAGTGATGGCATCAATTTCAGTCTACGAAATGAAACTAGCTTTGGCTTGGCCTTTTATAGATTAGAATTAGAGTCTTTACGGGGACAAAAATACGACTATGATTTTGCATGTTTCTTTATAACAATGATCATAGGCGCCGGAAGTGGGGGGGCAGGGGGGGCAGTTGCCCCCCCAGTCAAAAAAGTGGGGGGGGCAAAACGCATTTTTGCCCCCCCAAAACGCCCCCCCTCCAAAAAAACAAAAACAAACAGTAAAGGAGTAAACATGGTTTGTATTTTTAATCCAAAAGAACGTAACAATAATAAAAACCTAAATTAAATCACATATACAATCATCTGTATACAATTCCATTCAAAGAAAAAGGAAAGTTCACAGGAATTAAATTTCATAAACATTGCGCATGCCACCTATACGGTATTTATCAATGGAGATCTCTATAATAGCGATACGCGCATATCGTGGACATATTGTGCGAGAATGGGAAAGCGTGTCCGTTTTTTTTGTTATAGGGGTGAGAAGACATGAGCCACTGAACGCTGGCGTACTGATGGGGGGGGGGGGGTGATGTATTTCTTATTCGAAACAAGTGATTTACAAATGTTGATGTTGTGACATGATTTTCCGGCATTTTTTCTCCATTTTTCTTGTAAGTCATACCTTTTTATGCGTTTGTTGGAAAATAAGAAATTCCCAAATTACAGTCAGGCGAAATACGCTTATTTAGAAGCCTTTATGTCATGGTCTGCAAAGTGGCTGAGCTCGACCTCCCCCCCCCCTCCTTTTTGAAAAAGTATGTTAAAGAGAAAAAGAAAGAAAGACGGAGAAGAAAAAAAAGTGACCTGCCAATGTCACAAATAAGGTATAAAAAATGCTCATCTGACCGTAATTAAATGCTTAAAACCCCAGAGCTTACGGGGGCTCTGCCCCCGGACCCCACCAAGGGACCTAAGGCGGGCCCCTGGATGCTCATCTGACCGTAATTAAATACCTAAAACCCCCGAGCTTCCAGGGGCTCTGCCCCCTGGACCCCAACAAGGGCTCTAAGGCGGGCCCCTGGATGCTCATCTGACCGTAATTAAATACCTAAAACCCCTGAGCTTCCGGAAGCTCTGCCCCCTGGAACCCCACCAAGAACCCTAGGGCGGGCCCCTGGATGCCCATCTGACCGTTATTAAATACCTCAAACCCCTGAGCTTCCGGGGCTTTGCCCCTGGACCTCACCAAGGGCCCTAAGGCGGCCCCCTGGATGCTCATCTGACCTTAATTAAATACCTAAAACCCCTGAGCTTCAGGGGGCTCTGCCCCCTGGACCCCACCAAGGGCCCTAAGGCGGGCCCCTGGATGCTCATGTGACCGTTATTAAATACCTCAAACCCCTGAGCTTCCCGGGCTTTGCCCCCTGGGCCCCACCAGGGGCCCTAAGGCGCCCCCTGGATGCTCATCTGACCTTAATTAAATACCTAAAACCCCTGAGCTTCCGGGGGCTCTGCCCCCTGGACCCCACCAAGGGCCCTAAGGCGGGCCCCTGGATGCTCATCTGACCGTAATTAAATACCTAAAACCCCTGAGCTTCCGGGGGCTCTGCCCCCTGGACCACACCAAGGGCCCTAAGACGGCCCCTGGATGCTCATCTGACCGTAGTTAAATATTAAACCTCTGAGCTTCTGGGGGCTCCCCCCCCCCCCTTGGAACACGTCAATTGCCTTACAGAGGGCCCCTGGATGCTCATCTAACCGTAATTAAATACCTAAAACCCCTGAGCTTCCGGGGGCTCTGCCCCCTGGACCCCACCAAGGGCCCTAAGGCGGGCCCCTGGATGCTCATCTGACCGTAATTAAATACCTAAAACCCCTGAGCTTCCGGGGGCTCTGCCCCCTGGACCACACCAAGGGCCCTAAGACGGCCCCTGGATGCTCATCTGACCGTAGTTAAATATTAAACCTCTGAGCTTCTGGGGGCTCCCCCCCCCCCTTGGAACACGTCAATTGCCTTACAGAGGGCCCCTGGATGCTCATCTAACCGTAATTAAATACCTAAAACCCCTGAGCTTCCGGGGGCTCAGCCCCTTGACCCCCTGCCGAGGCTCATGCCCTGGACCCCACGCCAATTTACGATCTACCTGATCCACTTTGAAAAACGTTCCGCGGGACCTGCATGTAACGTGTAAGACTGGTGGTGATGCAGATTTTTCGTCTCCCCCCCCCCCTTCCGAACAAATTTTCTCATTACGTCACTGCCCCTGGAATGTGAGCCCCCTGGAATGTTTGCCCCCCCAATCCCAAACTGCTTCCGGCGCGCCTGACAATGATTGTTATGTGGGACAACAGTAAAAATATTCATTTATTGGTTAAGTTATAGAGTCTAGATCTAAATAACACAATTTTAAACGGAGTTACATTTTTTTTTAAATGGGATCGCATTGTCCATGATAATTCAAATTCGGGACAGAAAAAAATACAAAATGACACAATATTACCTACCAATGTGGTTGCTAGTACTAGTAGCATGACGGCTAAGGAAAAACACAACTTATTGTTACAGCTTAAAATGAATTAGCCCCCACTTTTCTTAAAGTAGCCCCCATTAAAAAAAAAATTCCTAGCCTAGCTGCGTGTCAGTGACAACATTTTCTTATATAAAAACAAGCAGTTGAACAAAACACTCCTTTTGACAAGTTTTAGCCACATGTATATGTAAATCATTAAGCCACACGTTTAACACAAAGTGAATAACTCATGGATACGGAGATCCAAAAATAATAATTATTGGCGAGACATCGTAGCCGAAGCGGAGACCCGAAAAAAATAATTAGTGGCGAAATTGTACCTTTTTTTAAATTCTAGCTACCATTTTCAGAAAACAGATTGTTTCCACAAGTACTCATGATCAATTTTATGTTTCCTTTACTTATAATCACTCTATCTACCATAAGTAGCGGTGCTGGTGAAAGGCCGGTGAATCTTGACCTAATAAAAATTAAGCAGGTGAAGACGTGTGGTGAATCTGCACCTAATATTTTTAGCGGCGAGGTGAATCTGCACCCTATTTTTCTTGGAGATGGGTGAATCTGCACCTTATAAATAATTTGGAATAGTGAATCTTGACCTTATTTGTTACGAAGCAAGGTGAATGAGAGGTGAATCTTTGTGTCGGACGTTCAAGACCAAAAGTGAATAAGAGTGAAGTCTTGAGGGGGGTAGGTTCAAGACTCTAGTTGACCGGTGCATTAAAAAGTTAGTTAGATTATCTGACTCTGTCTCTGTCTCTCTCTCTCTCTCTCTGTGTGACAAACACTCATATCATGACTGACCTGGCAAGCGATATAAATCAGCCTTTCCACCATGGACGTAAGGTAACACAAAACTTTCATCTACTTAGGCATATTATTTATCAATCATTTCGTCTTTAATACTCCGACACTCATCGCCATATCTGAGAAGTCAACACTTCGCTTCATCATTCATCATCATGATCATCAGACACAATTTCAATGCATGCAACAATATTTCCACCTCACAGTATATAGACTGCAAGTGAAATTAAATGGCTCTAAATTAAGGGGTAAACATGTCTCATAGTTATTGGGTTGTGTTGATCTTTCATATTTCAAATAAGATTCGGCTTATTGACTTAACTTTAGCTGACTGTCATTACAGTTAGGCCTACTACTGCACGACTCTGTTACTCATTCACTAATACATGTGCACTGAACTACTTTCATACGTTGTCTCGATGGGAATTGCAATGACAATGTAGACAAGGCTGCGGGTGCGATCTTTTCAGTTACGGTACCACAAATACATGATTATATATCTATAATAGCATAAAATGACAATGAAAACATGAATTTAGGCTCTCACCTTTATCTCTCATCCGAGCACCGAAATAAATCGTTAAAAAATACTCCTTTTCTTTAATTAAACGTTGATTTTAGATTCTGTTTTGGGCAGCAGAAAATCGCAGTCGACATCGTGTAGACATCGGGGTCACCGAGTAATCAACTTCCTGGGCGTCGGCTTATCACTACGCTGAGGGGTGATTCCCCTCAATTCGGCTTCAAACAGGTCAAATAATGTCACAATAAATCTCCTGCAACCCTTAGAATACCATTTTACACCTACAATAAGAACAAAAACCAATGGAAATAGCCATTAAAAGTTATATTAGAGGACTACTTCTATTTAGCGTAGGCCAGAATATGATTTTGTGAAGACGGTACTTCTTCCGGGTCACTTTTTTCCCCAGATGATGACGTAATTTTGTTACATGTTGGGAATGCCCTCAAATCTACCGACAAATCGTTTTCGAGACAGGATGCAATTTTAGAGGCATCCGTGGATACTTCTACGAATCTACGTCATGAAAAGATAAATCAAATTGAATTCGCGATAATCACCCTACTAAGATATAACCTACGAAGAATTTGTCACCAAAAGAAATATCATCGTTGTTAAAAATGAATCTAAATCGGACGTTACGACTGTTTTCTTTTCCCCTCTCTCTCGATCCCTTTCTTTACGTGCGACTTCGCTTTGGTAACCACATAGGTTATGAGTCATGCATAATCGAGGAAACCCGATGGAATTTGAAAACATTGTGGCTATAGCTTGAAGGAAAATGGTGATGATGACTAGACGAAGGTTAATACACAAAGGAATATTGAGAGAGAAAAATCCGGACTGTACAAGAAAAGGGAAGCTTGACTCAAGCTCGACGAGGCCTGCCCTTTGTTAATATTATTCCCCATTGATGTGCATGCATATGGCGTAGCGAACATCATGCAGGACAAGTGAAGGGGGCGCTGGTGTAAAGTTGGGGGTACGAGGTCTTGATGGCTGGATGAAAAGAAAGAGTGGAGAACGTGGGAGGGGTCATGTCATCCTTCTCTCCTCTCTCCGGCTCTCCTGGGTAGTGAACCTACCCTCCGCCCCTCCCCCCCCCCCCCCCTCTCTCTCTCTCTCTCTCTCTCTCTCTCTCTCTCTATCTATCTCTCTCTCTCTCCTCTCTCTTTCTTATTTGATTCGATTGGTAAGTGCCCCCGTCAAGTAAACAACTGCCCCCAAATGTAATGTATCATGTACCCTAGTCCCCAAATCTACATGTCTACGGGATCTGTCACCACTCAAAACAGCAGCAACAACAACAACAAAGAATTACCGACAACCTAAATTCAAGATTTACAACTAAAATGTTTAAATGGGCGTGGCACGCGCACCTGAGTCCTCTAATAGCGAGGCACATGACTAGGGTAGTCAACTTTCCCCAGAGTGAGGCTGCAGCCCCCCCCCCCCCCCTAAAAAAAAGAAGAAGGAGAAGAGCTGAATTGGAAGGTTTATTAGATATAAACTGATATCCAGTCAGTAAATGGACATCATTGTTGGGTTCTGTCATGTCAATTGTCTATGCAAGTTATATGTTGTTTGAATATTCTCTAGATAACATGGGTGGGTTTCAGGAAAATAATCATAACAAATCTTTCAGTGAAGTAGTTCTCCTTGAAATAAAGAGAACTTTAGGTAGCTGCCTTGTCAAGTGTTTAATTCCTTTCATTTTGTTATGTTGTTGTTTAAAAATTGAATTATATACAAACGAAGAATCATTTCCTTGAAAAAGGCCTTTCCAATACAATGCGCGATGACTTTGTTCTATACTAGCCGCTTCAAAGTCTCAAGGCTTTTATATTTAGATATACCAACCACTTTCGTTTTCGCTCGGATTTGTTAGTTTTGAAATCAAACATTCCTGGAAAATAAAGAACAATCCGCATAACCAAAGTAAAATGCTTAATAGGCCTATAGGCAACTCTTTCTGTATAATCTATTTCGATATTATTATTCCCGAAGCAGACAAGAAAATCATTACAAGAGGGTTCGCGGGAGGAATAGGCGGGACAAAATAAAAGTGGGGTCATATGAGGATGAGAGAGAAAATAAATGCAGATTAAATCGTTGGAGTCATAAGAGAAACTTTTTTTTCCAGTGATATAAGTATAGCGAGGATAACAGGAAGAGGGTAAAAAGGAGAGATGTAAAGCGAAAGAGAAAGATATTATATAGGGAAGGACAGACGTCGAAAGATATTAGAGAGTGAATTACAGGATGGTTCATAATACAGCTGCATTTAAAAAAAAGTGCGGTATGGGCGCTTAGTTGGTTCAATTATTATAGCTGGCTTACAATGATTTTAATGTAAAAGTTACGATTTGTAGAGGAAAGACAATAAATAATTATTCTTTGTTTTTACGTCTGGAGACCGATTTTCACTATCGTGATCAAACCCGGTGTCGAGAGTTCATGCAGGCATAATTATAGGCTACTGGATCATCTTGTCACTATGTAGATATAGATTGGAGGGAGGGGGGGGGGGGGCACCGCCATTTAAACAAAAAAAACCTATCGGAAAATTGACATGCCATAAGCTCTCGGAAAATTGGACCTTTTCATAAGTTGTCGGCAACTCTAAAAATTAATATCACCCCCCTGGGGGGCGTTATTTTTTTCTGCGGCACAGATTGGGGTTAGGTGCGTGTTAAGCTTATGGGAAAGTTTAGGGTTAGGGTTAAATCAAGACCTCTTTAAAAAATAAAAAAAAACACAATCTGTGCCGCCAGAAAAAAAAAATGACGCCTCCGGGGGGAGGGTCGAGATTACTGTATCTACAAAAGACAGTTCAGAACAGAAATCCGACAACCTTGTCGGCAAATTTGATATTTTTTCCCCTTAGTTTGGAAATTTCTAGGGTACCCTATCAGAAAATGTTGTCTAACACACCCTACCTCCATTCGAAACGGTATAACGACGTCCCTGATAATTACTTATTCCGTTATTCTTCTTCATTTTTAAAATATTTGTTATATTTCTTTTTCTTTACAGCCATATTATAGTAAAGATGGACTTTGAAAGTGCGAGAACCACAATTGCTTCCGCGTGGAAACTATGGTAACTAAACGCGGATAACTCACCATGAAAATATGCGAACGATGAACAAAATATACCACAAAATGGTATTGTAATGTCAAATACTCATTTGTTTGCCTCCGTAAATTAAGGACGTTTTTGTCAATTATGTTATAATGAACGGCTATATATATATATTAGCTTCCTATAATTTACCGCGCCCACGCCGTGACGTTTTCAGAAACTCCAATACATTTTTTCATTCCCTATATCTTTTTCGAGCCTTTGCGGACCTATTCTGTGTAGACTTTTCTCTCTCTCTTTCTTCTCTTCTTCGTCCACAACAATTTGAAAGACAACTACCCCCCCCCCCAAAAAAAAAGGAAACATATCTCCAAGATAGCTACCACCCTGAGAAATTACTTTTCAGGGCGGCGGGTGTGGGGAAATCATGGAGGTATTTTTTCTCATGTGAATATATATCATTAGTAAGGAAATTAATCGAGGGGGTGGGGAAGGGGATCTAGGGTGTGGTTGGCTTAGGGCATAACACTGTTTGTGTGTGTGTGCGGGGGGGGGGGGGGGGGGGTAATAGTCCTAGGGAGGTAGTTGTCCGTGGAGATGGCAGCTCAGATATACCAATACCATACCAGTTTTAAGGATTCATAAATAAAAACTATTTCTAACCACCAATTTGTGGTTTACAGTTATTTATATATACATATTAACTATACTTTAGTGAATCTTGTAATGTACGAGGCCAATACATTATCAGTTATTACTACCATTGTTGTTATATTTAACAAGGTAGCCCTTACAACCTACTGCTTGAACAAGGGGACGTGTATTAACATTAAACAATATAAATATTTAACACAAATAAATAATAAACATTAATTCCATTCAATTCATTCAAAATTATTTATTAATCCCATATTGCAAAAATAACATGAATTTCAGATGTGCATATGATTATAAAAGATCAAATTTCATTCATAATGCAAGTTATAGGAATGAAAAGGGAAACGCTCTCGGCGGTCTTGCCTGCATTATACGCAATTCAATATGATGAAAAATTGAGGTTGGGACATTATTCATAGGCATCTGACATAATACATTATATTGGCAGGTAAACTCATCAGGAATTCATACTTTAGCATTTTTGAATGTCAGTTTTATCTTAATTATGTAAATATGAAAATATTATGTATATATATATATATATATATATATATATATATATTTATATATTTTTTTTTTTTCTTCTTTGGATTATAAAATGAAAGCAAGACACATATATACAGGGATATTTTACACTTTGAAAGACAGGAAAAATGACTGCTCGTTCATGACAAAAGAAAGCTTCATAAAATAATATGAAAATTGAAAGGTGCCTCTAAAAAAGATACTGATGGTTGTTTACATGAGTTATTAAACACCCCCATCCCCTTTTCAAGTACACTGTTATCCTCCTTTATACATGAAAAGGATAGTGCAAGCATACTCATATTTTCAAAAAAGAATTACAATTGAGCCTTATTATTTATTTTCAAATATTGGTTAGGCTCCATAAAAATGTACAGATAACAATTGAAGGTAATTTCATGAGAAATTAAACAAATTTAACAGAGGATAGTACAAGCACATACAAAATGTTGACAAGAAAATTTAAACCATTGTTTTGGGCTCCTACATAAGGAAAAGAAAAATTACATAAACTTTTGTATCAGACAATATAAAAAATGTAATCAATAAAATTACCATCATTATTTTTTTATCACAGTAAGTTTCATCAAAACTTGGCGAGACAAGTATTTACTGAATGACCAAACCCCCCCCCCCCAAAAAAAAGGAAATTCAAATAAATAAGTACAAAGTTTCATGACAATTTTTTTACTCCTTGGCAGATGGAGAGGGAGATCCACCACCCCGGTGTGATTCCACTAAAATCACTCAGTCATTTTAGGATGAAGCAAATGCTGTTAAAATAAGTCTGGAATTTGGAAGGATTGTCATACTGGATGCTCAGACGGATCAACAATGGAAACTGTAAATGTAATTTGAGACAACATTCCGTACTGGTCGTTAATTTCTGTACCAATTACGGTAAATCCGTACTAGTTGCCAGCTCTGGACCAGGGCCGGTATTCAATTCAATACTAAGCATAAGTAAGAAATTTACTAAGTAAATGGCTAAATTAAGTAATTTACTTATCTCGTATTCAAATCGCATTTTAGACTTATACTTACGTAAGACAAAATCTAAGTAAAATTGATGCATTGCAATAAATGCGCGCTGATATAATTGTGCGCAGGTTAAAGTACTGGGTAAGAAAACCATATGCCTGCCAATCAAGGCCTCTAAATAATTGGCTTAAGTCTGGTATGGAGTTGGCTTAGATTTAGGGTAAAATACTGAAGCAGCGCGGAATCGTCAACGATGAAATACTAAGTAAAAAGCTTACATTTCGTACCTAAGTATTGAATTTAATACGGGCCCAGGCATTTATTTTACCTAACACATAATTTTATTCATTTTACTTACAAGCATGAAAAAGAAACATCAAGGATGCAACTTCAATCATATCCTAAGAGTATTGTACATGATTATTTTGATACCAACGAGAAATTGATAAGAACTTTAGCTTGGTCCATTCCAGACACCATAGCACCATGAGTTGTCGAGAAGTACGTTTTATGGAATGCTTCACCGGCGAAGAGAAGTACAGGAACCTGAATGAAAAATAAAAACAAATTTGCAGGTACAAGTGAGGCAGATATTAAATGGTTCTTCAGGTCACCAAGCAATATACCCAGAGATGCCAACCTCTTGACACAAAAAAAAACAGACTGAGTATCCTAAATAATCAGATTTTCACGAAAACTCAACACTACCACTGGCCCGTCGGCCCTGGGCCAGTAAAATTTAAGAAAAATGTTTGCTCTTTCATTAAAATTTAATGAGAAAATTGTAAAGCAAAGTTTTTGTTGGAGTTGCGGGGTTTACTCGTACATGTTTCTATACCATTCTGCTGTTTTTATGGGTTAAATTTCTTTTTTGTATCTCTTTATACCATTTAAGTCCAACAAATTTAAGAGAACAGTGGAGAATGTAATGAAAAAAACATACAACATCTTTCATGCCACTAATACTCCCATAACATCGCAGACCAAAAACATAACATTACACCGCATATGTACCCTGAATGGCTAAGAATCGGTTGGTTCGTGTTGGTGTGGAGTTGGGTAGGCGGTGAGACTGGGGTATTATTGTCATCCATGTTTCTTATAATAATAATAGAAATAATAAAATCGTTAATACTTATAAAAAACTTTCAAGATTTGAACATGGACTGTCGGTGAGTTGGATCACTAGCAGGAGGTGGTTTCGTAACCGGGTAGTCCTGGGTTCGAAGCCTAGTGGATGCATCCACAACGTCCATAAGAGGTTCATACAATATACTGCATGAGAATCAACTTTACAATGACGATACCGTTAAAGGATGAAAATATAGCCATTCTAGGTCCGGTCAATTTGTTAAAGTCCCAAATTCTTTGCCACTTACATTGTGAAAAGGATTACCTTAAGAATGCATTCTAACCTTTTGTCCATGCCTTGTCCTGTTGCTGTAAACTGGTCTCTGGATACCTTCGATCTCCTTGCCCAATGCCTGCACCGGAAGGAAGGCTCCATACGCCCCTCGTTGATACCGATTCCCTTTCCAACGCGTGCAGAGAACCTTCTCTGGTTCGGGGATGGACGGGTCGTTTAAGAACTTTCTCAGTATTGCAGTACAACGCTGTGAAAAAAAGGAAAAAGATAAAAAGTACAACACTTAGAAAAATTAATATTAAGTGCTTAATATGTTGTGGTTATTGTTGTTTTAATCTTCTTCCTGTTTTTCTTTATTAGTATAATTATCATTGTCACCATCATCATCATCATCATCATCATCATCATCATCATCATTGTCAATATTATTGTCGTATATCACTTAGCTCTATCAACCAGTAATTTGTATGATGTAAGTTCACGAATTCAGAGAGGCAACTCATGCTTCAATTCTGGTCTGTGAACAACACATGCTCCGGCAATCATGGTCACTAGTCTACACTAAGCAAATTCTGAACTTCAACCGAAAGTTAACACAATCCTGGCCCTAACCCTACACCCTAACCTAATCCGAACCGGAAACCCATTGAAAACCTGACCCTAACCCTAACCTTAACCCTAAACCTCACCCAAAACCTTGCAACCCTAACCCAAACCTTATATCTTTGACAAAATGAAACCTAGAGCAATATGTCAGAGAACCTTCTGTTCATACGCAACTTTGAAGGCCACAACAAACTTAAGTACTTTTCTGTCACAAATGTTATATAGATAATGCGATTTAAATTGTTAAGCTTGATATTGATGACAAATGATCTGCTATTCATAATGTAATCTCAAGATCTTTCAAGTAGTATCACTTTTAGTTTAGGCCTTACACCACAAGAGAAAATAAATGTTGTATATAAAGGTAGCATTGCTTGGGAAACAGATGGATTAAAATTGAAGTGTCTCTAGGTCCCATATCAATTATACATGTATGTTAAAAGCAGCATGCAGATATTGAAAGACTAAAAATTGATACAGTGTAAGGCGTTAAAAAAGAAAGTTGTATTGTAAGGCTGTGCATAACCGTGTAATGATGAACTCGATGTACACTCCAGGGCTTACAGGCGGATACTAGGACGCCATGTTTTTTTTTTTTTTTTTTTTTTGCCACCACCATACTATGGTAGAAGTATCCCAGGTCTGTCTCCGAAAATTCACATGATTTTACTTTGAGTTGCAGTTGAAAGCGCCAATTTAATAATAATAATAATAGTTAACAATGCTGTTTTTAAAACCAAAGATGACTGACTAATTTTCCTCCGAGTCCAAACAGAAATACAGACATTTCTTCCAGTTTCTGAGTGGTGAGTTGAAAATGATTGAGCTGGGAAACATTTTTACCCACAGTTCCATGCCGGCGCTCTCCTGGTCGCGGGTAAGCATCGGCCTGGACAGTGCCAGGTGAACGGGAAAAAAACTTTAAAAATGGCGGCTGAGAAATCGTACTCGAGTAGTTGTCAACAGTGCGAGTACTCGAGTATTTGAGTACTTGTCGCAGCCTTATTGTATTGCCCTTTGCTACCAACCCCAAAATCATGAAATCTACGGTCGGCTTCGTAAATTTTTAAAGAAAAAATGTATTAAAGCATTCAAAACTGAGAAATATCAGAGAGTAAAAAAAAAAAGATTTCTGACCGACCGACCCATGTTTTGGCACCTAAAGGGCGATACAACATTCTCTGTTTTTTGGCCTAATGACAACTCTTCGTAAGATATTAAAAGACAAACCCCTAAAACCCCATCCAAACTTACTTGTCCAATTTCTTCATCAGTTAACGTCTCCATGTAATCTGCCCCTCTGCCGTACGTCCATCCAACGAGTATGTCATCGTTCCGGTCTTCAATATCGAATCCGGGAAGCATCCGGTAGAATTTCTCCTTCTCTTCCTCCTCCGATTCCTCCTTGGTTGGCAAGGGCGCATCCCAGAGGACCTGAAGGCCAAAGTCGCTCGAGTTCCAAAATGGCCGCTTATACCTTTATTTTGAAGACAACAAAACTGGTTGAATTGATAAATAGGGTAAAACTCAAAGAGTATAACCCATACCGAGTTATCAAATTGAGATATATCACAGGGGGAGTGGTGTATTTGATACGCAATATCTTATTAAATATCCACAGGGCTTAAAGGTATAGACCAGTTTTGGAAATGCCCCTCTCTCAAAAAATGAAATGGAAGCTCTTATTACCAATCATGAAAGAATATGTTTTGACTAACACGTGATGATACAAAATTTGCCGGGAAACCGCCTACTAATTGATATATTTGGTAAATTATCATATCTATCCGGACTGGATAGATATCACATAGTCCCATATACATCTTTCTGTGTGCAGTGCTTGTAACTTTACCAAGACTGGCTAAATTTTTTCCTTTAGTACACACCAATACTTATATGCTTCATGATCAACCTTTCTGATCGATTCTACAACGTTTCTTTCACAATGCAATCGCATAACCAGAACTGGTCTTTACAATTAAGTCCAATATTTCCTAAAGATAAGTTTAACATTTGGACAGGCGATTGGTAGGTTGCGGGTTCAAGCCCCAAAACAGCAATAATATCCTTTGGCAAGGCATCACATGACACTGGCCACTCTCAAAGAAGGTGTTTTGAGTGGGTACTCAGAATTCACCCAGAAAAACAATTTTTCACCAAATCAATATTACCAGGAATATAAAGATAAAGTTGAGTTCTGGTCACAATTGCATTGTGAAAGAAATGGTGTGGAATGGATCAGAAAAGGTTGGTATTGGTGTTGATGATACAAAATTTGGCCCAGTCTTGGAAAAGTTACAAGCACTGTACACAGAAAGATGTATGTGGGGCTACACTAACATGTGGCATAAAGATACGTCCCAATTTGTATGTTGTTACAATGCTTTTCAGGGAACATTTTTTCTCTGATTTTCTTCCGCACTCGCATTATAATAACAATGATAACGCTCACTAACTATTTTTTACCTCTAAATTCTTCTCAGAACTCTACATTCTCTTTAAACTACCTTTAAAGCATAATCCGGATACTATGATTGTACTTACAGATACCACATATGTGCTTACTTAAGGAAAATTTTGTTGACATTTCCATACGGGAGCGTTCTGATAGCACTGAGCTTGTCTTCTGGCAACGGTGGCCTGAAAAAGGTCTCCAAGTTCTCCTTGAGAAATCCGACAGACGCAGTCATGATGACATGACTACAGCGGAAAGTCCTCCCATCCTCACAGGTCACCGTGACAACGGCATCATCATCATCATCCTGAGGAACACTACCATTTCTAGTATTGCAGTCAGCATACTGTATCCTTTCCACAGGGGTGTTGTAGAGAATACTGCCTTCGGGGATGTCCTCAAGCAGTTTCTCCAGGACACCTTGGTAGCCTTCCTCCCCCAGGGTCGTGTAGTAGCCCCCTTCCAGCTCCTTGTAGTTGTCGTAGCTCTTGAGCTGGGCATCTCGGAGCGTGTTGGACCCAATGTCCAGACACTCCATGCTGCAGCAGTGCTTGTAGATCAACCAGTACTGGTGGTACTCCTTAGTGTCGTTGACGATTCCACGATGCTTCAACTCCTCCGCGAATCCCTGAGCTAGAGCGTCACCTGTATTTTGGTCCATGTCCACCTCAGATACATGTATACTGTCAACATTCTTGTCCATAGCATCTGCAAACATTTTCTTTGCTTGCAGGACCAGTTTGGTGTTCATGCACTCGCCAGCCTCTGTTCTATATTGGTTTTCTTCAGCACTGTTATTTTTGTACCACTTGGCATCCTCATTGTCGTCAAAAATGGAAGATGATATTGATGATGAAGATGAGCAAGAAGATGAGCTTCCATCGGACATCTGTTTTTAAAATAACAAAAATTAGAGGTGTATGCATTGAACTAGGATTTACCTTGAAATAATAATAACAATAATAATAGTGGCTTCTTGTATGGCACTCATGTCTGTCACACTATGATGCTCCTGGCGCTTCAACATTTATTAACCCGGTCATGGCCGAATGGCCAAACATGTAGCGCTCTAGCATATCGGGTACCCATCTACACCTGGATGGAGAGTGGTAAATGTGAATTGGTAACTTACATGTACAATGGACATCAGTGCTGGGGGGTGTTTCACAAAGATCCTAAGTTGAACTTATCTCTAAGTTGGACTTAACAATTATGGAAAGCCGTTAGCATCTATAAAAATATTTTGCAAAAGTTATTTTGAAAGGCATAAAATGTTGATTCAAATCATTTATATTTTCTATTATCAAGGAGATTTCATGTTCTTGATGTTGAATTTATAAAAAGTCTAAAATACTTGATTTTTTGCTTGTGAATATATTTTATTTTAAGGCCACAAATAGCTCTCCATATTTGTTAAGTCCAACTTAGAGTTAAGTTTGGATTAGGATCTTTGTGAAACACCCCCCTGGACTAGGATTTGAGCCCTTGTCTCTTTCATTGAAAGTCAAGTGAATGAACCACTACACCTGGGGCCCTGTCTTTTAAAGAGTTGATATTAAAGGTACTATGTCCCATTTGCAGGCCCCAAAAATGAAAAAGTTAAATTCCAACTGCATTTGACAATTAATAATAATTTAGAACTTCCCTAAAAGAGGTGGGGCTTGAAAATGTCTTCAAGTGGGAAAATAACGACTATGAGTTGTCAAATCGACTTAAGGGCTATAGAGCCCAAAAGTAATAGTCTTGATTTTCAGACAATTGAACCGAATGGTCATACGTTTTATGCTGCGCAAAGATTCAATCAGTTTAATCTTGGCCATCACAAGAAGTGGGTTATTGATGTAGACAAATGCTCGTGTACCCTTTACAACTCTTTTCATGTATGTTATTACCAAGAAGAAAAAAGCCAGTCAGTCACTCAATAGTGTCTGACAGTGAAGTCTAGCAAGTTAACGGGTTTCCTTGCATAATTTGAATATGAGGACACTGCTAACGTTTAAATTTCACAGATAGGACATACATGACATATTCATAATTCCTGCAAAGTTCTACAGAATTTGAGGTTGGCTGCAAAAGGGACATAGTACCTTTAAAGGGAATGTAGCCCGACGAGACTAAGTTAAGTTGACTACTGATTAAGTCGTTGACTACTGTTAATAGGGACTTTTAGATTTGCACGAAAACAATGTGGATTGCTACCGTCGACTTCCTGTTAATGCACTGCCTTGAATGGACGTCACACATATCAGTCCACTCACATCTAAAAGTCCCTAATCAACTCCATTCGTTTACGTGCAGTTGTCCAAAAGAAGACGTAGATGGCATTAACCAGTATATGCCAAGCTTCCCTCCCTTCAATAGCAACTTATTTGCGATTAATATCAAATGCACCTATTTGTACATAAAAGATAGGAGACTGCGAACTTGCGTTTGATTTGGACCAATCGCAACTCTTTGTAATACGGGGCCCTGATGTTTGAGGTGTGTTCACAATGGTAGATTGTTTTTGTTTTTTGTTAATGTTGTAACAATACGTATGCAATTAAAAAAGGATATCATCTGTTCAGAACTAGATTTAATGCCTTTCTGGCTTCAAACTGACGGTGAAAAAAAGCATGCATCATCAGATAATAGTTGGCAGTTGGTCATGCTAGCTGTAAGTCATGTAAGGAGAGTCCCAGACATACAGTCAAACCTGCTTTAGTGACCACCTGTCTACAAAGACCACATTCTTTGACTCCCTTGAATTTCTCATTGAAACATGTACTAAAGGAACCTGTCTACAAAGACCACTTTTTGTGTTTCCTTTGGGTGGTCGCTATGGACAGGTTCGACTGTATATCAGATTGGTTTGCTGCTAATGAAAAGATGTCAATCACCTCTTCTTTATTTAGGAAAACAAAGATGTAGGAACACAGTTTTTTTTTTTAAACAACAAAACTCTGTACGTCACTTACACTGAGAAGGTCGTGTTTCTTTGCCAGCTCATACACAGGGCTACCCTTGGTACCATGCAGCCAATTGGCTCCCAGTTCTATTGCATGAGAACCTGGAGAAAGAGAAAAGGGAAACAATTAATACTCAACATTCCAACAAGGAATCAATTCACATCAAACCAAAGTGACATTTGCATCTAGCTTACCAGATACCCATTTTGCACTTGGGTGCCAAAAAACGTAAGATAATGCCTTGGTTTAGGACATTAGTGCCATGATTGGTGATTGAACCCACAACCTTCCAATCTGCAGTCAAGTGTTTTTACCACTGAGGTATGACACCTCATCTGTAACTGCAAAACAGCCTCTTATTTTGATTAGGTATTTTGAAACATGTACATGTATATAAAGACTGCTCAAAGTAGACAACAAAAGTGGTCTTTATATGGAGGTGGTCCTTGTGCAAAGGTTCCTATAGTACATATTTCAATGAGGATCACTATGCAAGGGAAACAAAAAATGTCTTTGTAGACAGTCACAGGGAGCCTAATTTCTATACAGGTGGTCACTAAAGGGCGTTTTACTGTGTTATTAAGACCTCAATGATCTCAATCCTGAAGATTTAATTAAAATTCGAATTTCAAATCAAATTTTATTGGGACTTCTCGCAAAATTTAGTGCAAGTACTCCTTACCAAATCCTTTTAGAGTCTGTATCCTTCCCCCGAACGTCGACATAGCTTCCAGGATGATGACCTCATATTGACCCGACCTGCTTAGCTCCACCCCGGCAGACAACCCGGCTATTCCAGCTCCAACAATCACAACTTTCCGTCTTGTTGTTGCCATCGGGCTGTCTTTATCACGACCTGCAAAAAACACAAACAAGAAACATGTTATGGAAGATTAGGTAATTGTGAATTCTGGTTATTTCTGCCTAAATCAAAGAAAATTACTGACACTCCCTGTTACAAAGTTAAATATATATCATACCTGCTGACCAAATATTGTAATTCATGTAAGGTTTAGTTTCAGATATATATACACTTCTCTTTCAGCTCAAGAGTGAAGCAATCAAAGAAAAAGTCCAGAGTTCACACATTAATTGAAGAAAAAAACAGGACAGGTGAACGATTTAGCCTTGATGGCAAATTAAAACTTTCTTGCTCTAAATGCTTACAAATTACAATCTGATCTTATGAAAAGACTGTTGAAGGATAATACATTTTCCCAGTAAAATACAGTGAATGCTCCTATATACAGTACTGCTTGAAAAAAGTAGACACTCTCACGATGTCTCACGCATGACTGCTTGTACTATTTCCATAGAATTTGGTGTTAGCTAAGGTGTCTGGCTGACCTACTTATTTTCTTTTTTTAAATTTCATTATTCTATTACTTTTACTGTAATAAATTCTGTTTTTTTTAAATAGTTTGCTGAATAGAGTTAATCACCTTGTTTACAAGAGAGTTTTAGGTCAACGGCTGATATATACATGTACAGTCTAAAATCAGTGTGTACATTGCAGTTGGCAGCAAAGAGTATTACCAGGAACATTTTTAATGAGGAGGGGGTGTGTTTTCAATCCAAGTTTGTCAACAAGTTGGTTTAAAATGTTTAACATCATGACAGTTCTGCACTCTTCATTAATGTTAAGAAGGAATTGAAGTTAAACACTTCTTCCAAATGAATTTGCAGGTTATGACAGGGATAAACAAAAAAGGAGTGGAGTGAGTGGAGCCACCACAGTGACCCCCCCCCCCCCCCGAGAAAAAATAGGGTTATAGTAACTTATAGAGGGCATCAGTAATCACTTGGAGAGACAACAATTTTAAATTTCTGCCCATTTTAAATTTGCACTAAATTATCTTTACGAACTATATTTTTTACACAATGATTATGGTTTTTCTTGTCCCTCGTAAAAAGAAGATTGAGAACGATCCTACATGTTTGGATTGAATGGATTCTAATGAATAAATTAGAATTGGAATTTGAAATCGTAATCGCCCTACCCCTCCCCCCCCCCCCCCCAGAAATGAACTTAATCTATAAAGCAAGGCCAATATGTACAAAGAACAAACACAATAACATGCTGTCACTATTTTGGTAGTCACCTACATGTAGATGCAGAGATACAACTATAATCAACTTTAGTGAAGGATCAGAGCCTTATTTGCACGACGGGGGACTAAAAGTCCATGTTTGTGCACGTTAGCACGTTAGTACAACTTGTACAAGTTTAGCTGAGTTGGCAAATTTCTGTTGACATATAGATTATAGAATCTTGCTTTGACAGGGAAAATTGTGGGAAGAAGGAGTAGGGGAAGAAGGAGGATACTTTGGATGGACAGTCTGCAGAAATTGTTGGAAGAGAGAGGAGTGAAAGTACTGGGAGTGGTAATAATCCAGAAGGCTAGGAGCCGAGGGTTGTGGAACAGCATGATCGCCAAAGTCAACGATATGGCTCTTAGAGAGAGAGAGAGAGAGATACATGTACACATGTAGCATTTTGGTCTGGCATTAAATGCTTGCTTGCTTTGACCATACCCTATAAAAAAAAACATGGATGAAAGTTTCTTCCTTTTGACTGATATTGATCATCTAAGTCATGATCTTGTCAATCTTATATATGCATTGCAGTTCATGAAGGAAAGCTTGAACTCAGAGACTGTTTTTAAATTTAAAAATCTGTTTTTTTTTCTTTTCTTTTTGGTTACCTGCACGATTTCTACCCGTTCGCCACACATCACGTACAATTTCGCACAAAACAAATGCACCTATTGACGGAAGGATTGCTTTAAGCAACACAATGTAAAATTTCCCATTTTCTTTGTTGATTAGCTCCATGACAACATTTTTACCACCATTATTGAATATAGATTAATCTTGCACTGGAATCAGTTAAATAATCTTGAAGCTTTTGATACATGTGTACAGGCGCAGATCCAGGATTTCTTAGGGGGGGGGGCCAAATTTGAAATTATGCAAGCCAAATATTGGTACGTAATGGTGACCAGCAGTGACATAATGCAGGGGGATGTAGGGAGGGGCGAGTTTCCCCCTCCCTCCTCCACAAAGCGCGGAAGCTATATATATGACGTTTCATTAAATAGTCCAGTAGACGGTACCCATAGACCATGTACATGACCTGGAAAAGTTTATAAGTACTAGGTTTTTTTGTTGATTCGTGTTCTAGATGGGTATTGAAGTAAATTCAGCTTGGTTGCCAGCTTGGCAATTTTGGGCAACCTTGAGCAACTTTTTTTATAGCCTAATTAGCATAATCATCTAATTATCATATGTGCAATATGTAATAATGTTGCTAATCTCAATCCAGGAAGCCTGAAAACATGGATAATACGACTTTTCAAGGGTTTTCTATGACGAGGTATTCATTTATGACACCAGTTTTTATTTGTAAGTAATGGAATTGTCTTAAATAGCATAATTAGCATAATGAGCTAATTAGGATATGTTAAAAATATGGACTTCATTGTCATTGTTTATCTATAAACCCTGAAAATGGTGCAATGCAACATTGTAAATCACTTTTTTTTTTCTATCTCCCCCCCCCCCCCCCCCCCCCCCCCCAAATTTTTTTTGTCTGGCTGTAAATTTAGGAATTTGTCATTTTCCAACAAACGCATACAAAAGTATAATTTACTAAAAACTGAGGAAAAATCTCGGAATGAATTCAGCATTTTTTGTAAGCCACCGTTATGGAATTAGAAATAAACCACGTTCGAATTTGAATTCCCCCAAGCCCCCCCCCCCCCCATCAGTACGCCAGTGCCCCCTTTCTTCTTTCTCTTTTTTTCTTCTTTCCCTTTCTCTCCTCCTTAAGGTTTGCCGAGGGGGGGGGGGGCAAGGGCCTTTCGGCCCCCATCCCGATCCACACATTGTTGGCGGGATTAACCGGAACTGATCTCCCGTTCTTTTCACCCTTTTCTTTTCTTCTTCCTCTTTTTTGTTCCCTTTTAGCTCTCCTCTTTCCCTTTTCCTTCTTTCTCTCTTTGTTATAGCGGGGGCGGGGGAGGTAAGGGCCTTTTTCCCCTCCTCGATCCACCGGCGGGAAAATTGCAAATGATATCCCCTTTCTTTTCTTTTCTTCTTCCTCTTTTTCCTTCCATTTATCTCCTCTTACCCTTTCCCTTTCCTTCCTTCTCTCTCATTTTTTTATTGGAGGGGGGGGGGTGCAACAGCCTGGGAGGCAAGGCCCTTTCGCCTCCCCCCAATCTCCTTCTTCACCCGTTTCTTTTCTTCTTCCTCTTCTTTCTTCTGGCGCTACACCTCTTACAAAAACAAAATGCAAAAATATCCAAAAAGAGAGGACTGCAATGGGGAACTTTGATTTAAGCTACGCGACCATTATTCTCTCATTTCCTTTCACATTGTATCTCATAACCATGAGAATTGCCAAGCTATTGTATACGTTATTTCGTTACACGCACACACACACGCACACACACACACACACAAGATCATAACCTGCACGAGTCTACAAGGTGTGAGAAAACTCTGATTCAGGAAAGAATGCAAGGGTAAAAGTAAAAGCGAAAAAAGTGGACACTCTCACATGGCTTCCATGGATGCCGTATTTGTTCTCTTTTTCCCTTCTTCTTACTCCTTGACCGTTCGCGCATATATTTTTTTTACACAACTGTTTAGCCATATATAATACATGTGCAAGCACGTATACCCAGGGAAGGGAAGGTAATAGAAAAGGGAAAACAAAAAATACATAAGGAGAGTACAGAGGATATGGAGAAAGAAAGACAAAGAAATACATAACGGAAGAGAAGAGGTCAGGGCTTTTAGGCACCAAATTACACATCTAGGGACCCGCCTTAGGCCCCTTGGTGGAGTCCAGAGGGCAGAGCCCCCGAAAGCTCAAGGACTTTAGGCATTAAATTACGGCCAGATGAGCAAACAGGGGCCCGACTTAGGGCCCTTGGTGGGTTCCAGGGGGTAGAGCCCCCGGGAGCTCATGGAAAAATACTGCCATTTTAGCAATACTTTAAATCACTGGTATCAAATTAAAAATAACACATGTTTAAATTGTATTGGGGGGAAGGGGGGGTTACTGCCCCCCCCCCCCCCCACCCATCAGTACGCCAGTGAAAGAGGCGGAGGTGACGGAAGGGACTACCCCCATAAAGCTGTATGATAAGTCTTATATGTAAACCCCTCACAGGTTTTGAAGTTTTGTTGTGTCACAAAATTACATTCTTTAGCAAAACTACAGCATAAAAACAAGCAATATACTTTTTTCACGCTTCACTTTTACTTTGCCGATATCTAGTGTGCAGTCCGAAGGGTTGTAAATATTTACTAGGTATATTTTAGTAAGTACTGAGCAGGAAGGGACTTCTTAAAAGGGCAAGCTGAATATTCATTTTTGGAACACTGATCTATTTCTATAACTTTTAATCTTGTTAACATACAGTGTAAACTGTACATACGTGATACCAACAGAATACATATTTTCTACAATATTTACTTGCATATTTTGAGGATATTATGCGAAGGAGCGTAGCGACCGAGCGAGAAGATTTTAGCATTTCTATTAGTCTAAACGCTGTACTCTTGGGCCCACCAGAGCCTTAAAGTGTGTTGTAGTCTTTAGTCAATATTTGCTATACATTTTGTTGGTCTGCACTTTTTCAAATTATCCATGGGGGACGATCCCCCTAAGAAAATTGAGGGAAGACGTGTACCCCGTCCTTCCCCCGGGATCGCCGCCCCTGACTCGCACATTTCGCTTTCAATTGCAGAACGCTCTAGCTGTGTCCAAGAGAATAAATTCTCGGAATGTGGGGCATCTCGCAAAAGACATTGGGAAAAAAATGTGTCGTGTGAAAAGCCAGGGAAGGACACAGACACAAAGGCCCGAATTCACAAAGGAGGTTTGTAGACAAACCTATGTTTATGTGCGTCATATGATGCGTTTCAGACAAAGGTTTGTCTAAACCTTGGTCTGAAACGCATCGAAACGCGTCATATGAAGCACATTAACCTAGATTTGTCGACAAACCTCCTTTGTAAATTCGGGCCAAAACCTCCATGGGTGCGATGTGACCTGTGTGGACGTTGGCTCCACCTATTTTGTGTTTTGCTCAAAAAACTATCCACAAATAGGACTATGTACAGTAACGTTGTATGCCCCTTTTGTGAAGCGACCTATCAATATTAATGTTCACATATCAGTCCCTTTTTGGATTGCTCTCCTCCCGTCCCCCCCCCCCCACCCCAAGAAAAAATATTATCACATTGTTACATGTGTGCACAATATATATTGATGTGTCAACCTTACGAAAGTGGTGTTTTCATAATGATTATTTACCTCCTTAAAATTTATATTTATATGGAAGACTTAAGAAGACAACTGTTTACAGTCCAAATAAGGGTGTAGAGCATGCCGTGTAGACTAAAATTTACAATGTTGTTCAATTTCTGAATTCTTTGTTTAAAAAACTTGCTTGCTGTCAATAGTGTATACATTTTTTATACATTTCAAATGTCTAGTCCGGTTAAAAATAGCACGTAATGATTTCATTATTTGACACGTACTTCACATTTATTTATCTTATCGATAAGCGAAACGATTTGCTTTAGTATCATATAACAAATATAACAGTAATGACAAGTATGGTTTTCCTGAAAATTGCATTGTACAATGTATATTCATCGTTATGGAAAATGTTGTATAGTATACAACAATGGGCATAACATTTTCCAGACCAATGATTTAATTACGTTTAATATTGAAGCTGTTGCCCTTTGTATATACATGAACTTAAAATAATAAGTAGCCTTGAAAGTGTCGAAATAAATCATGTGTGAGTGAGCTTGAAGTTTAATGGTGTAGGTTTGTTTGATACTGTATAGCCTTTACTCTGTTTTTAATGAGATATATCTCCAATCAAATCAAACTGAGTGATGTTATCGTACAACTTAACAATATCAATCTTATGTTCTCCTAAATAAGCCTGGGAAACTAGAAAATTGCATTAAATGTGAATTCATTGTCAGTGAAAATGTAATACAATACACAACAATGGGCAAATAATTGTTTCCAGACCAATGATTTAAGTAAGAAGAACTTACATTTTATATTGAAACTGCTGCCGTTGTATACACATCAGGTGCTGATCCAGGGATTTCTTAGGGGGGGGGGGGGGGTCAAAATTTGAAATTATGCGAGCCAAATATTGGTTCGTAATGGTGACCAGCAGTGACGTAATTGGGGGTTGGTGGGTGCAGGGAGGGGCGAGTTTCCCCCTCCCTCCTCCGCGAAACGCGGAAGCTTTGACATTTCAATAAATTACTAGAGAAAGAAGACGATTTGTTGTACCGTTCCCAAAAATAATCCTCGTCTGAATTTAGTTTTCCCCCTCCCGCGCTAAGCGGAAGCTTACGTTTGATTAAATCATTATAGAAAGAAGATGATTTGTTGTGTCGTTATCGACTCTTAATCTTTGTCTAAATTCAGTTTTTTTTCCTACGTTCTCTTCCTTCCTTTTGCCCCCCCCCCCCCCCCCCCGATCCACAAGTTGTTGGCGGGAAAATTGCAACTAATATCCCACTTCTTTTCTTTTCTTCTTCCTCTTTTTTCCTTCCCTGTATCTCCTCTTTTCCTTTTTTCTTTCCCTTTCCTTCCTTCTCTTTTATTTTTTGACTGGGGGGGGGGGGGGGCAACAGCCTGGGAGGCAAGTCCTTTTGCCCCCCCCCCCATCTACTTCTTCCCTCTTTTCTTTTCTTATTCCTCTTCTTTTTTCCCCTTTCTCTCCTCTTTCTCTTTCCCTTCTTTCCTTCTCTCTCTCTCCCTCCTTTTTTTTTTTTTTTTGCGGGGGGGGGGGGGGGGGGGGGGGGGGGGGGGGGGGCCAAGGCCCGCTCGGCCCCCCCCCCCTGGATCCGCGCCTGCATGTGTAACATGTTGCATGAAAAATAAAGTGTGACACGTACAGAGAGAGAGATGCTTGTTCCAACTAATTCTATAGGTGGCTTCAATATGATTGATTAAGTCAATACTTTCAGAGTAAGGCGAAAAAAGAAAAAAGAAAGAAATAGAAAAGAAAGGACAGACATGGGTGTGACCAAAAGTTTACCTATGATGTCAAGACTCAAGTTTATGCATATCAAATATCATTAAAAAATGACAAAATGGCGCCTAGATCAGTAATAAAAAAAATCTCTTTGGTAGAGTTAGGATCAATAATCCGGCATATATGGCACCTGTCATAAAAATGTCATTCATAATCGACTCACGAGTGATGAGGTATATATAGAACTATGTCTATGGAGCGAGTAAAAGATCCATAGACTACAGAAAGAAAGTGGGAAAAAAAAGATGGATTCTGACGAAATCAATAGGCACTCTGCTATGCTACGCGGCAGATCACCTAATAATACATGGATGTATCATGTATACAACTATACATCCATACAGATTTTTGTGTCTGAACATGGATCTCCTACAAGTCCTGTGCGAGAAAGCGCTTTGTCCTGCCCCGAGCGCTGGGGAGCCGAGAGACATTGAGAGAAGGGTCGACGTAAATGTTGATGCACCGCACCTGTGCGAAAAGGTAAATAAGTCATGACATAGTGGATATTTATTTTCTAGAAAAAGGGACAATGAACTCACGTTTTAGAAATGAAAAGTAAGAGAAAGAACCAAAATCCAAAACTTGACCAAGAAGATCCTTCAAAGTATGTTACTAAAACGTCGAACGATTTGAGAGACCGATATCAGCACATGCACTGCGGCATGACACACTTATAATGTAAGTATAACATGCAACACTCGTATTATGCAACTCGATTACGCTTACTCGAATATCAGCTGATTAACCACAACGAAGCCAATGCATGGGGTGGGGTGGGAGGGTGGGGTGGGGTGGGGGGTGGTGGTGGGGGTTGGGGGGGGGGGGGGGGGGGGGTTGGCGTACCTTCGTGCTCGTATCTTTTGTTAAGCGGTCCATCCGTCCATGACATGGTACATGGGGGTGGGAGTGGGGGTTGGGAGGGTGAGGTGGGGGTGGGGTGCATGGGGTGGGGGGGGGGGGGGGGGGGGGGGGTGGGCGTACCTTCGTGCTCGTATCTTTTGGTAAGCGGTCCATCCGTCCATGCCATCTAATGGCACGGTCATTCCCAAAAGATTGGTTACTTCACTAGATTCTATGAATTTTGTTTCATCATCATTTCAGTGCTTGTTAGATGCGCTATAAATAACCAAGTATAGAAAATCGAGTTATTATAAAATGGTGAAGGATATAGCTAGAGAAATTATTTCTACTTCTATACCCCAACCAAGCTGAGCTGTGAATGTAAATGAAAGTATATAAATATAAGAACATAGTAATGGTCAGAAAGCGCTTGGCGGCGCCACAGGGGGGGGGGGGGGCAGGGGGGCCGGGCCGCCCTCCCTATCATTTTGAAAAAAGGGAAGAGGGTTAAGAGGAGGAAAAGGAAAGGAAAAGAAGGAAATGAAAAGAAGGAGAAAAAACGAAAAGAAGGAGAAGAAAAGAAAAGGAAGGGGACGAGAAGGAGGAAGGCCGGGAGAAAGAGAACTATAAATAAATTATGACGTAAGGGAGGGCGGGGGAGAGGGGAAAAAATTAAAGATAGAGAAAATAAAGAAAAAGAGAGAAAAAGCAAGCCAAATCGGGCGATCAGATTATTACATTCACATTACCGGAAGTTCAAACATTGGTTTATACGATGAAAAACCTTTCACCAACTGAAGAAGAAACAAATCTAATTAATCCCTTGTATCTTCTAAAAGAAGAAATATAAATTATATGTGCTTTATTTGACTACTCTAAAATATTCGACAAAATTCAAATGATGAAAATATCCTGGAAACGAATAAAAACCAACTAAGAGATATTGCACATGGCAGGACAAATTGCACTAGTAGGATTAGTTAAGGAGAGAAAAATCAAATACTTTGGTCATGTTAAAAGGCACCAAAGCCTCTTAACGGATGTATTGGAAGGAAGAGTGGAAGGAAGTAGACCTAGAGGGAGACCCAGAATCAACTGGGAAGAGAATGTCAAGAACTGGAGTGGACTAAAACTGCAAGAGTGCACCAGAATGGCTGAGGATAGATTGAAATCGAGAGATGTTGCAATCAACCTCCGAACCGGGAGAAGATACTTAGATAGATAGATCTTCTAAACCTTATGGCTGATTGTTCAATGGAAACAACAAATTCATCTAAAACAACCCTTCTGAAAAATATGGTGACACCCCCTCCCCCCCCCCCCCCCTCCGTTCTCGTTCTTGTTAATTAAGACTGTTTCTTTCTAATATGGCAAAAAGTATGCACCAAATCGAGCCCTTTATGCATCAATTAAAAAATATCTTCAACTTTCTTTTTAATTCAGCAAAAAGTGTGCACCAAATCAAGCCATTTATGCATCAATTTAAAAAAAATCTTCAACTTCTGAGGGGGGCACATGTTCCACTCAATCATTGACTTTTTGTAAAGAGAAAAACAAATCCTCCCTCAGACACCCACCCTGCGTTTTTGTTTCTGTTAGTTGAACTTGCTACTCTCCACCCAGGTGTACCCGGTAGGATGCGACCGTCATTGTTGGTCAAACAGTTTTTGAGCATCATGTAACGCCTGGCTGGAATGCTCCCCAGGGAATGGAGATTGTGCACACACACAGTGTGTGCGGGCAAGCACTGAATCCAATGACCGGGTAATTTGTACAGCGCTTAGAGACATTAATAAGCGCTATATAAAAATTAAATATTATTATTAAGTGTTTTCTAATGGCAAAAAGTATGCACCAAATCGAGCCCTTTATGCATCAATTAAAAAATATCTTCAACTTTCTTTTTAATTTAGCAAAAAGTGTGCACCAAATCAAGCCATTTATGCATCAATTAAAAAAAAAAAACTTCAACTTCTGAGGGGGGCACATGTTCCACTCAATCATTGACTTATTAATGTACAAAATGTATTACTATTATGGAAATAAAAACCTCGCTTGAGGATAAGAGAAAAAAAAATCCTCCCTCAGACACCCGCCCTGCGTTAGTTGAACTTGCTACTCTCCACCCAGGTGTACGCGGTAGGATGCGACCGTCATTGTTGGTCAGTTTTTGAGCGTCATGTAACGCCTGGCTGGAAAGCTCCCCAGGGAGTGGAGATTGTGCACACAGTGTGTGCGGGCAAGCACTGAATCCAATGACCGGGGTATATTTTGTACAGCGCTTAGAGACATTAATAAGCGCTATATAAAATTAAATATTATTATTATTATTATTAAGTGTTTTCTAATGGCAAAAAGTATGCACCAAATCGAGCCCTTTATGCATCAATTTAAAAAAAAATCTTCAACTTGGTATCAGCACGTTTGTTTTGGCTTATTCCCTCGATCCATAACGCCATAATTATGATGTATAGGCTCCTATAAATTGAACTATATAGAAATGGGATACGTATAATAGGTTCGGTTCATGGGTGGATCCAGGATTTTGTGAAAGAGATCAGAGAAAATCTATGACAAGCAGCGCATGCAAGCAAAAAAGTAAGAAGAAGAAGAAGAAGGAGGAGGAGGAGGAGAAAGAGGAGGAGGAGGTGGATGTAGAGGTGGAGGTGGAGGAGGAGGAGAAGGAGCAGGAGGAGGAGAAGGAGGAGGAGAAGAAGAAGAAGAAGAAGAGGAGAAAGAAAAAAGGTCATCACTTTTAAGATGCCCCAGAGCCATTTACATAGCTCCTTAATAAAGGATGGGAGTACAGCCAGGCGGTCATGCCCCTCCCCTTCCCCTCACTCCTCCTCCCCTCACTCCCCCTCCCCTCACCACCCCTATACGCCCAGCTGATCGGAAAGGAGGAGTGGTCATGCATATTCATAACTCTAGGCTCGGCTGCTGAACATAGTTGCTGACTGTAGAAAGAGTTGATATTGATAAAAGGAGTTTATTGAGAAACTCTGTTTCAAACTCAGCAACCAAAAGTATAGGAATTTTAGTAAGAATTAGTGCAGTATACTTTGTAGCCACGACAGTTTAAATCTCAGACACTGATTACGAGATAGGCCTCTTGATGCGGAGAATAGCATCTGTAGATGACACAGTAAAACTTCAATCAGATATGGACAGACTCTTGGAGTGGGCTAATCGTTGGCAAATGCAATTCAACGCCAAAAAATGCTACTCAATGCGAATTCACAGAAAGAGGCATCCCATAATGCACACTTATACTATGAGGGGAGATGATCTTCTAGGTGTGGCCAGCAAAGCATATCTTGGAATCGAGCTACATGAGCGTCTAAGTTGGAAATCGCATGTAGATGCGGTCACAAACAAGGCCTCGAGGACCCTTGGATTCATTCGGAGGAATCTCGGAAGACAATGTCCAACAGAAGTGAAAAAACTGGCATACATCTCTCTCGTACGATCCCAGCTAGAGTATGCTTCGGTAGTATGGGACCCCAATAAGCGGAATCAAATAGACCAACTCGAGAAGGTCCAAAGACGTGCACTTCGTTTCATTTGTGGAAACTACCAGCGTGATGCCAGTGTAACATCCATGCGAGAACAACTTAATCTCCCAACACTTGAAGAAAGAAGAAAACGGGCACGTTTGTCAATGTTCTACAAGATAGCAAATAACAAAATTGCGATACCAATACCGGAGTACATCAAACCGAGGCAGCGCACTACAAGGAGGAGTCAACAACAACGATATATGAGACTAGGCTCTTCAATGGACTCTTACAAATTTAGTTATTTCCCCAGGACACTTAAGGACTGGGACGAGCTACCTCAAATCATCGTTGAACTGCCCTCTTTGGAGCAGTTCAAGGTGGCTCTTGAAACAATTTAGTTCCTTTTTCAGGAACTGTACCGCATAGAGCTGTATAATTATACAACTCTATGCTTTATCCTCATCTAGATGCTGAACAGGCGTTGATGAGTATCACCATAGAAGTAGAAGTAGAAACAGATATTTTTTTAAGAGCCTGCAAACTAGACTACAATAAATACGTCGACGCGGTCATAATTTATATGCATATTCATGATATTCTGCGATTGCAGTGCATGTGAGACTCGAGAGCTGAAATTGCGGTAGGCCTAAGGTTTCTTTTTTGGAGGGGTATGTTTATGTTGAATTATTAATACCATTCTGATTGTAAGAATCTCTCATATAGAATTCAAAAAGTATAATGCAGTGACTTTTGAATAAATGATGAATCTGTAAAATGCAGAGATATTTTGTAAGTTTTACATTATTATTTTTACTCCAGTCCCAAATATTGAATTCGATGTTGGATCTACTATTACTCAGGCAAAAACTGCAGACACAATTCAATTCATTAGGCTTAGATCTATACACAGTTTTTTAAGGATGTGACATTCCCCATGCCATGGCCGTGATCATGATGATATCATATTTCATGTTGAATTTGTTTATGCATGATTGAAAATTCACGAAAAGGGGGTCACTTTCGGGAATGTTTGTGGACTTTGAAATATTCCTGCATTATTCAATTTATTCATTTAATATTGCATACGACGGGGCAATCCATCACCGAAACAAAAACTTCAGTCTCTGATAACCATGGTCATTCTGCTGAGAGTGGGACTAAGTCTGGCTCCACTGACCACCTCTATGTGTGTTTGTCTGTAATTGGCTCTTTACAGACGTGTATCAATCAGATGTGATTATTTACGTCTGGGGACCAACCTTTTAAGTTTAACGTCACCATCCGACAAATGTCACTTTTATTAAAGAATTCCCCAACCAGACGATTATTTCTGTCTAGGGCAATCAAACCTTAGTAAAAAGTTTATTACCCTGTTATGATTAGCAAGAAATAAGAGAAATAAAATGGTAAAAGTTTGAAATAAATTGGACCAATAATAAGAAAATTAAGAGCATTTAAAATCTGAGATTGATCACCAAATGTATGCAAATTGCAAATTGGCAATTTGGTTACTAGATTGTGATTGTGAGGTATTCTCATACAACTTACAACTCTTGCATTTCTTGTGTACAAATATATAATGAATTTCTGTTTGTCTCCTTTCTTAAGACACATCTGAAAATATATTGTGGGGAACATACAGTGTGTATCATCAAATGTTAAAGGGATCATAATATTTCATAAGATATGTTCTTTAAAGTCTGGAAAATAGGGGGTAATTTCTGCTCTGCTACTTATCATGCATTTACCCCTTTGAGTTTGATCAAGTATTAATTTGACCACTGGAGTGACATTTCTCATTTTCTAGTAGAATTCTACCCATCTTTATTCCAAGTTCAAAGTTATTCCAAAAAGAACATGAATTCTCTATCATTAATGAAACTAGTCCTCGGATTTTTCAATTTGTCGACAGAGGTAGGACCACGAAGTTTAACTAGCAAAGAAACACAAATTATTGACTTTGTTGAAAAGGCTTTAATTTCAAAAGTACAAATGTTCCTAAATGAACTGGAACCTCCCTCACAAGTGCCCTCCATACCATTCATACTCCTGTTGTATGACTAAATTAAAATGCAAAGAAAATATTTCTGTTCCTATTTTGTCTAGATGATCTCACACTGACTGATATAAAGATACAACCATGGGTCTTGGCGACTTTATAGCGATGTTGAAAGAAAACCCCTACTTTGGGGCGGGTTTTGGACTTGTCGGGGTCGGAGCTCTCCTGACCATCTCGAAGAAGGGTCTTCAGTACGGGAGCATTGCGGCACGGCGCCATCTGTTGATGACCCTGGAGGTCCCAAGCAAGGATAAGAGCTACCATTGGTTGTTACAGTGGATCACAACGACCGCACGGCATACGCAGCATCTCAGCGTGGAGACGACATTCACACAGAGCGAGAGCGGAAAGATTGATACCCAGTTTGACTTTGTCCCCAGCCCCGGCAACCATTATTTGAGGTGCGTAATCTGATATCTACTGCAGGGACATTTGCTATCTTCATTTCGTCAATGATTTGGGTTGTCATTGAGTTTCAAGTAAGGTTTAAGGGAGAGGCATATTTCCTTTTTTTAAATTAAAAATGTACTTAAGATATGCCAGATTGGGATCTTTATGTAGACGTGTGACCTTGTGCCCCCCCCCCCCTTCCCCCAATAACTTATCAAAGGCATTTGCAATCAAACCAATTCAGTTGTTTTTGTTGTTGATTCCAAACCTTTAAAGAGAAGGTTGAGTTCTGGGAAGCAGTGAAAAATAATTTGTGAGCGTTATCATTGTCATGATGCAAATGTGGAAGAACATCAGATAAAACATGTTCCCTGAAAAGTATGGCTCTTCAGATGCCTTCATATTCTAAATATGGCATGTAACATTGTAAAAATTGGGACGGATTTATACGCCACGTGTTCGTGTAGTCCCATACACATCTTTCTGCGTACAGTGCTTGTAACTTTACCAAGACTTGGCCAAATTTCTTATCACTTTGATGATTCCAGAACCTTGCAATACACACCAATACTTATATGCTAGATGATCGACCTTTTCTGATCAATTCCACACCGTTTCTTTCACAATGCAATCGCATGACCAGAACTCAACTTTATCTTTAAATGTTAAAATGTTCTAATGAACTACAGCATCAACCTTTGCCAATATCATCGATAAAGTTTCTTTCATAATGCAATCTCATGACCTGTACTGTACTTCTTTAACATTCAATTTATTATACTTCTTTTTCATTAGAGTTAGTTTTAGGTGCATACAAAATACTGTTCAACTCACACAGGCACAGCAAATACTGACTGTGTGTTTATTTTCCCCCATGAATACCACAGATATAAAAACACCTGGATCTTTGTTGAGAGGAACAGAGAGAAGCAGATGGTTGACCTCCATACTGGTACTCCCTGGGAGACGGTCACTCTGACAGCGATCGGACGAAACAAGGAACTTTTCTATGAGATACTCAATCAAGGTAATGCACTCAGACCTGAATATAAAGACCTGTCAAGTTAGTTTATAATACAGAAATGTTATGATTATGAGCAACGAATGTGAGAACCTTTTTAGGGTGGAAAGGGGGAGGGGATACTTTTTGCTTAAATCTTGGTGACAAATATGAAATGCTGGAAACATTTTTGTTTGCTTATCATTAGTCTACATTTACCACTCTCTACTCAGGTGTTAAATTGGTACCAGTAGGAAGGAATTTTGAGTGCTACCTACTTCTTCTTTTTCTTCTCCTTCTCCTCCTCCTCCTCCATCTACTTCCTCCTCCATCTACTTCCTCCTCTTCTTCTTTTTCTTCTTCTTCTTCTGCTCTCTCTTCTTCTTCCTCTTCTTCTCTTTCTTGTTCTTTTTCTTCTTCTCTTCATTCTTTTCTGTCTTCTTCTTCTTCTCCTTCTCCTCCTCCTCCTCCTCCCCCCCTCCTCCTCCTTTCCTCCTCCTCTATCTTCTTCTTCTTCTTCTTCTTCTTCTTCTTCTTGTCATCATTATTGTTAAATTTTATCATTATTATTATCAATTTTATGTTATTAAAAAGATTAAAATGCATTCTCTTTCTTCTTCTTCACTTTCTTTCTTCTAATCGTCATTATTATGTCGACACTGTTTTTATTTTATTAAAAAGAATAAATTGCATTCTCTTTTAAACCTGTCCAGCTCGAGAGATGGCGCTACAGAAGCTAGAAGGTCCTTCTTCTTCTCCTTATTCTCCTCCTCCTCCTCCTCCTCCTCTTCCTCCTCCTCCTTCCCCTCAATCTATTTTTTCTTCTTCTCTTTCTTCTAATTGTCATTATTATTGTTGACATTGTTTTTATTTTATTAAAAAGAATAAATTGCATTCTCTTTTAAACCTGTCCAGCTCGAGAGATGGCGCGGTGCTACAGAAGCAAGAAGGTCATTCTTCTTCTCCTTATTCTCCTCGTCCTCCTCCTCCTCCTCCATCTACTTCTTCTTCTCTTTCTTCTTATTATCGTCATTATTATTGTTGACGTTGTTGTTTGAAAGTTATCAAAAAGATTAAAATGCATTTCTCTTTTAAACTTGTGCAGCTCGAGAGATGGCGCTGCAGAAGCAGGAGGGTAAGACCATCATGTACACAGCCATGGGCGCAGAGTGGAGGCAGTTCGGTTACCCTAGGAAGCGGAGACCCATCGATTCGGTTATCCTGGACCGAGGAATCACGGATACGATCATCAAGGACGTCAAGGAGTTCATCAACTATCCACAGTGGTACTTTGATAGAGGTAATGTAAAAAGCTGGTCATATAGCAACAATAGTGAATTCTTTTTTTCCTTTAAAAAAAACCTTTTTATTCAGATACAAAATCATGGATGACTTCATCCATAATTATTTACACCAAGCAAATCATCACATGTTTAAATATAATCAAATTATATATCTACATTTACTTGAAAGCAGATTATTAATGCATTTCCTGTAAATCATTAACTATCTTCATCCACTTAGTAGTATTCGCATCTATTTTCTTAGTTTTATTTTCTTCAACTTCTAGTCTGTATTTTAACATAACCAAGAAATATTTCTCTATTGATTATAGCAACAATAGTGATAATGAGTGTGATAAATCTTTCTATGTAGAAAATGTTGGCGTGCTGACCAATTTATGCTAATGCACCTTCAGCACCAATTTTCTTTGATATAATATCTTTTCTAAATGGACCACTTTTTGTCATTAGTACTTCATTATGGTTATTGTTGATATTTAAATGTGACCAGTTTGTAATAATATAGTTTGGTTTCTCAATGTTTATCCATAGAGATTAGCTCATTCATTATTGACTGTGTATGCAGTATATTTTGCATACAAATGTTAAGCTTTCAGCATCGATTACCGTATGTACAAGGGACATAATACAAACTACAAAAAGTCAAATACTGTCACCATGGAAATAATTTCTCATTTTCATTTCATGTCTGAGTTTATTTTGTTTCTTCATTTAATTCAGTAATTTTAACGGAATATTAAAGTCGAGACTTAGTCTTCCATGGGTCGGTGGACTGATTAAAGTGAAGCCAGGTTGAACAGAATTTCGGCCTCTATTAAGAATATGGGCTGAAGAATTGTTATCAACATGAATATATGTATATCAGCTGTTTGGAGACAGAAGGGCACTAACTCATATCTTTTTATTCATATCTAATGCCCTTCTGGCTCTCAACAGAAAATTCATGCAAGGTTTTTATCTTGTGAGTGATAATCAAATAATGACACAGATCTTTATTAGAATAAATATGTTTGAGATAATATTACGTTTTTTGTCATCCCATAGGTATTCCATACAGGAGAGGGTATCTTCTATATGGACCACCTGGGTGTGGAAAGAGTAGCTTTATGTAAGTCTTTAAAAAAAAACATCAAATCATATGAGAAGCTTTCAAAAATGTATTGGCTTGTAAATCAACAGACTTTTTGATACATGTATGAATGCATTAGAAAAATCAGCAGTCATCTCTTAAGCCGGGGCAGATGCAGATTAGATTTCAAATTGTTATATCTGAGCCCCGAGTTATCCAAGTCCTCCAATCAATCGCAAGTTTGCAATCTCCAATCTCTTATGTACATAGTTGCGATTGATATCAACTCTTTGTAAGACAGGGCCCTGGTGTATGTGAGCACAACCATTTTGCCAATTAGCCTTATGAGGCCAGCATTAGTTATTAAATATGTATTGAAATCTTAACAAGATGTATTTTTTGAATTTTATTTTCTCTCTCTCACTATCTAAACTCCTCCAAAAAATATTGGAAACTCAAGTTTTATCAATTATAGCTCTCTTATCATGGCCTTATCAGTACTTTGATTTTTATCATCAAACAAGGTGTTTATTCCTCTTTAAAATATTTGTTATGTTTAATCACATAACATCATGATCATTAGACAATACTCAGGCCTGATAAAAACCTGATTTGATTTTTTTTTACCAAATTTTTTTCTTCCCTATTTTATCCTGATTTCCCCGATTTCACCCTTATTTTCTCTATTCTTCCCTATTTTGCTTTATTTTTTCCCCAATTTTGTCTCAATTTTCTTACTCGAAAGGGGGGGATATTGTTAGATGCCATTCTTTCCCCGTGAATCCTCTTCTTTTTTTTTTTACTCAAGGGGGGTGTGGTTGAGGCGGAAACAAAAAACCTATTTTTTTTTTAGTGCTCACTACCACCCCTGAATACTAGACTTCTACTTATACTTTGATGTCTAAAAATACAATATAATTGTAGGTTTAAATATTGTAGAAGCACATAGGCTTAATACTTGAGGCATTGCCATACTTTTTTCATTCATTTTTGTATTCATTTATACATTTTTTTTTAGAATGGCCTTAGCAGGAGAGTTGCAATACAGTATATGCATGATGAACCTTAGCGAGCGTAGCCTGTCCGACGACCGTCTCAATCACCTCATGAACGTCGCCCCTCAGCAGAGTATCATTCTCTTGGAGGACATTGATGCTGCCTTCGTTAGTCGGGAGAAGGAAGAGGATCGTAAGAATTGATTCTTTAAAAAAATATTTTAAAGGCACACTGTCCTACTTGTAGCTACTTGCTCCCTCTATATAGAAAACTTCCCAAATGGGTGCCTGTTGGTCCCCCATGATCCTCTTTTTCTTATGTTAAATGAGAGCTGAGTTAATGTGATAGCCACCTGTCACAGTGACCTCTAATCCCTTCTGGCTGAAGTAGTAAAGCCTGCCTTTAAAAAAAAATATATATATATTTTTATTTTTTAATCATTCTTTTTCTTCTACTTGTAATTTTTAAAAGGCTATGCTCTCTATCCTTATTCTAATCTTCTGTAATTATTTATTTTCTTCCTTAGTTTGTTTCTCACTGGATGTAAGTTTCTGCAAGTGAAGTGCTGCAAAATGCATTGTTATGCCTTCAGAAAGCAATCCATCTCCCACACAAGTGACAAGTTCATCATTGACAATAACAATACATCTTTCAACATTTCACTTTTGACTTGGCCTCCTATTCAGGTGTACTGCATGTCCCATGATTATATAATCATTACACATGGGGCATCCTTGTATTAAAAGGGGAATAAACAGGCTTTTTAATGATACCAATGTCAAGTATGATAATGTACTAACAAGAGACTGAGAGATATCAATGCTCAAACATGAATTGCTGAACTTTTTGAGGGGTTTATACGCAGTCACATGATTCAGTACTCAGCTTTCTTGTGTTTGCCTACCAACCTGACCAGTACTCGACTTCATCTTTGAATGAATAATAATAATAATAATGATGTAATATATAAAATATGAGATTTTTCAGGTGCCGAATCCACTTGGAATCAAACACTCAAGGCGCACTAGTGCAAAAAAGAATATCACATAAAAGCACTTACACAAAAAACATGAGTAGGATAGAACATAAAAACAGGAAGAAAAGAATACAATTAATTATAGGCCAATCAAACAGATATGTTTATAGATTATTGTTGAATACTTAAACTGATATGCTTTTTCTAATCTCCAATTCTGTGTCATCTGCAGCTCGTTACCAAGGCATGAGCAGGGTCACACTGAGTGGTCTTCTCAACACGTTGGATGGTGTCGCATCGACAGAAGCTAGAATAGTATTCATGACGACCAACTATATTGACAGGTAGGTCGCTATTAAAGATAAAGTCAAGTTTGACCAATAAGCATGCTTGCTGGCAACGGATATAAACTAGTACTGATCGTAATTTGATGTCCTGTTTTTAGGGCCGGTCCCGCCCAAACTTAAATAGTAACTACACGTTAATCGTATCAGGCCTGATAAAAACCCAATTTTAAATTGGTTTCCCGATTTTTTCCTGATTTTTTCCTGATTTTTTTTTTCTTCCCGATTTAATTATTGTTTTTATACTTTTTTTTTACCAGAATTTTTTTTTTCTTCCCTCTTTTATCCTGATTTTACTGATTTCCCCGTTATTTTCTCTAATCTAACCTATTTTGCCCTATTTTTTCCCCAATTTTCTTACTCAAAAGGGGGGAAGGTTGTTAGATGCCATTTTTCTCCCGCGAATCCTCTTCAAGGGGGGGGCGGGGTTGAGGGGAAAACAAAAAAACTTTTATTTTTTAGTGCTCACTTTCACCCCTGTCTTATACATAATTGACATTTCTTCTAATTAATATGTTACTATTTAATTATTTTGGACCTGTGATGAAATATTTGATGAAATATCAAGTGAAATAATTCTACCGGAAATTTGTCATTTCATTTATTTTCTCCACTCCAATGTGTTCATGAAATGCACCCAGAAAAACGAAAACAAATTTTAAAAATGCTGTCTGTTTCTGAGACAGCATGCAATAATGATGATGATGAAAGACAACAGTTTGTCATTCTTGTGTATTGCATAACTTAACAAAATATCTATAGGCTAGATGTAGCCAGAAAAATGGTGCACAATAAACATAATTTAAGTTTGAAAGAGATGGGTTTTAAAAATTCCCTTAAGTTTTTGTTATAATAGTAGTCCTCTTTTATATCATCTCAAGAGTTAATTCCACAGCTCTGGCACTGCAGTACTGCTGCCTGCCCATATCCTTTTCAGTTTTGTAAACAAATTAATTAAACTGTATCCCCACCCCTTCCTCTTTTCAGATTGGATCCAGCTCTGATTCGCCCAGGCCGTGTGGACTACAAGCAGCTCATAGGCCACGCCAGCAAGCACCAGCTAGTCCAAATGTACCATCGCTTCTACCCCGAGCTAGGACCAGAAGCGGCAGAAAACTTTGCCAACAAGGCACTGTCCTTCAACAAACCAATCAGTGTTGCCGCCGTACAGGGCTTCTTTATGTTGTATAAGAACGATGGACTTTCTGTTATAGAGAATATTGAAGCACTCTGGCAAAGGTGATGAAGGCTTTGTCTTGGTTTATCTTCTAGAAAATTATATTACTAGCTTTGGTAACACCCTGAACCACTGAAGATGCTGTCTTTCAAGAAACGGATCACTGTTGCAACAGTTCAGGGCTTCTTTATCAATGATGGACTTGCTGTCATAGAGGATATGGAAGCACTCTGGCAAAGGTGATGAACGCTTTGTCTCGGTTTATCTTTTAGAAATTATATTGCCAGAAACCAATGTTTTAGTAACGTCCTGAACCACTGAAGATGCCGTCTTTCGAGAAACAGATCGCTGTTGCAACAGTTCAGGGCTTCTTTATAGTGTATAAGAATGATGGACTTGCAATTATAGACAATATTGAAACTTTGGCAATAGTGGTGAAGGCTTAAACCCTGAAGGACCTACTTTGCCAGAAACCGTCCTTCAGTGACTCCATGAACTACACAAGGTGCTAACGGTCAAGGAACTGATCAGTGTTGACACAGTGCAGGGTTTCTTCATGTTTTTCAAGAACGATGGATAATGATGGTTACTTGAACAGTAATGATAATAATAATAATATTATTGGATTCTTATAGCCCACGTATCGACCTTGCAAGGTCCTCAAGGCACTTCGACATTACCTGGCTATGCTAGGCTGCCGATTTCGACGCTCACAGCATTTAAGGAATTCCTTCCTACCGGTACCCATTTAACACCTAGGTGGAGAGTGGCAAGTGTAGATTAATGTCTTGCCAAAGAATATTAGTGTCGCAGCAGGACTCGAACCACGGACCCCGTGATTCACAGTCCGACGACGTGATTAACACTTCTAAACGTAGTACCATGGCATCTTAAAGGTAATACAAAGTTTGGGGAAATTTGAAAATTGGGTGGAAAGTGATTCTTTACAAGTTTGATATATTTAGATGCCCCTGTAGATATATTATAAGCACAAGAAAAATTAGCCCCTAAAACACTTCTCCTTTTGAGAAAATTTGAATCTGAAAATTTACCGGTGCTCCCATTAAATTTTGATACATTTCAAATAGCGCCTACGGCCGTACAATGGTAGCTGTGACCGTGAAACTCTCTGAATATGTAGTTGTGATATATAATTTCCAAACAGGAATAGCTAATTGGTCGATTTTAGTCAAGAAACATTGTTTTATAGCTTAATTGATATCTTGACCTTGAGAGGGAGCTATAACAGAAAGAGTTTATTATTTACAATTTCATAACTTTAGATTTGGACCGCAACATCGATCCCTGAATATTGTAGGATCGCATATGCTTCCAATATATTCATTTAAACCAAATTCATGACCCCATACCAAAACTTTGTATTACCTTTAATAGAAATCATGCAGATACGGTAGCCAAGTAATGCAAATGTAATAGGGATATTAGTGCTTTGGTAGGGATTTGAAATCCTTACCATGTAGTCTATAATAGCTTCACTCATCCACAAGATTTAGAAACCTCTACATCTCAATACCGGTAGATCCATGTACCTTGAAACCAGAAATTGGTCTCTGATGTCACAAGATTTGATTTATATTGAAAATCAAGCTAGTCGTCCCAACACATGGCCAGAACTTGGTTTCTCTTCTGTGCAAATGCAAATTGTGCATTTTCTTTAAATGGTACTTCCAGTAAGTTTTTGTTGGGCTTGACAAATAAGCAATTGCATGATAAACAATTGAGATTTTCTTGTTGTGCCATGCAGAGCTCAAGGTTGGCTTTCCTTTACCGTTGCAGTCAAGTAGTAGATCTTAACCAGGGTTTGTGACCTAATAGGACAAATACCCCACCCCCAGCTTGGAGCCACACTGCAGCCCCCTTCCCCCAGCCCCAAACCCCCCGTTGTATGCTTATTCATGTATTACCATGGACAATCGTGATACCAAATATGAAATGTGATTTTAAAGTATTATATACTTCAAATTTATGATAGATTTATGAATAAAAGAAGTCAGAACACAAATGATTTAAATTATATTTTTTGTCTTTATTAAAAAAAGAAGAAGATTGTACTGTAATAAATCCATGATTATCATACAAAAACATTGCTCTTAGGCCTCGTTCAGATATGGTGTCAGCAAACCATGGTGGTTTAATTGCAATACGCTTCATATTTCTCTAACTTGTAACACAGAGCTCACGGAATACGCACAGGACCTTTGTTGCGTGTAGTTCCTCTTCATTTACACGTTCAAAAAACGTGACAGCTTTTTTGCGGCGGTTTACCGTGCCATATCTGAACAAGCCTTTTCAGTATAACACATGTCTACCGAGAGCCAGAAGGGCACTGAACCATTTACTCTTCATTTAAAGCATGAATTAATGCCTTCCTGGCTGTAAACAGGAACATTTTCAAATGCATAAGTATCCCCTCCACCTTGTTTCCAATACATGAACATACCAAACAAACCACTGTATATTAAGACATTTAAGTAGACGGCTCAAAAATCTTGATAAAATATAAATTCGCACACACACAGACACACGCCAAAAAAAGGGAGTTTTTCATTATCAATTGGCATGCAAAAGTCGTATATTTTCCAGTAACATGCACACAAATTGAAATTATAATCAATTTTTTTTTAAACGGAAATTCACTGTACCCCTTATTCTCCCAAGCCAATTTCTATTTTTACTTTAGCCGAATTCCTGTCAACTCTGGACTAAATACTAAACTTACACCCAAATACAATCTTTACTTTAACTTTATAAGTTTTAACAAAGTAAAGTCTGAAGCAAAGTAGCAAACCACCTAAAATGGCATGCTCATGATTACAATTTAATACAAAATATTTCATTCCAGCCGTAGTACTTCACAAAAAGATATTACACATTTTATGGCTTTTATCAAAGTAGGTTAGGTGAAAATTAGGCAGGTTCCGCAGCAGCACCACTCACTCTAGTCTGGCTTTAAATATGCTGATATTTTTTAAATTTTGTACATGTTTTACATTTAGCAATAGAACATGAAATGTATAGCAACTTATTCCTGAAAATTAATGATTAGTACTGGATGTAAATTTATAGATTCAATACCAATGTCATTCTAAAATGGTTCAAATGTTCAAAACTTGATTGGTGAATGCAACGTAACTAACATTTTACTGAATTAAAATTTTTAGACATACTGCATAAGTTTTGCAACATACTGAAAAAAATATCACAACAAATATCACAACAAGTATACGCAACAAGTATACACCCCCAAGAAAGATTACTGAGTCAGAGTCTTTTCCAGGACTCCTCAACCCTCTCTCTCTCTCTCTCACATGGTGCACCCGCAAGCCTACTGTATACATAGACTTTGTTGCACATACATGTACATGTAAGTAATTGTGAATGTGCACAATAATAACAAACATATTTGGCACCAAAACTTCAGATTTGATTAGAACTTGATTATCTAGCATCATACACATGCATGCAAGTACTGTTATACTTGAGGTACGTGAACAAATATTTCAGTAGGGCAGTAGGCGGATTATATGAATATTTTATATTCATCCCGATATCTTTACAAAAATGGGCAAGTTAAAGTCTTTCAGACCTATTCAATATTTCCCCATGACAACTAATATATAAAAAGATGCTATGTTTGAATAATATTCATTCACTATTCATATATAATGGCTAAGGTTGAAGGACACATGATCTGGCGAGTAGTGACTGACAATTGCTCCACCGTCCATATCCCACACTTACAGAATTCCCAACTCAACGCTGGATAAAACGCGATACCTAGAACCTCTAACCCTAACTTAAAATCCACTTTCACAAAATGAAGCTTAGAATAATTGTTGTTGGAGCATATCTCTGAGTGCCCCAAGAGATAAATTACAAATACCGGTAGAGACTTTTTACCTGTCACTCCTCAAAGATGCAGCTTGTTATTAAAGGTAAAGACCAGTTATGGTCATGCAATTGCATTGTGAAAGAAACGCTGTGGAATCGATCAGAAAAGGTTGATCATCTAGCATCTAGTATCTGCAAGGTTCTGGAATCATCAAAATGATAAGAAATTTGGCCCATTCTTCGTAAAAATACAAGCACTATACACAGAAAGATGTATATGGGACTACCCTATATCTCTCACAGACCATGAGAGAAACAAATTTACCAATTATATGAATTAGTAGGCGGTTTCCTGGCAAATTTTTTATCACCATGTATTAGTCAAAACATATTCTTTCACATGATTGGTAATGAGAGCTTCCATTTCATTTTTTGAAATTGGGGCGTTTCCAATACTGGTCTTTACCTTTAAAGAATGAACCTTTGCTGATTATGTTCTCATTTACCCCTCTAACTTTTAGACACAATGTGCTTAGCACAATAACGATACAAATATACCCTGGAAATAAATCTATTAACTTTCTGGTATTACTATATACTTCATTTATCAAGTCAAGGTGGTCCACAATTCATTTCTTCAAGACATAGATGTTGTAATCACCCAATCATATCCATTTGAAGGAGTACTTGCTGAAAAACTTAAATAACATGGCTATAAATTGCATTTTTGAAGTGCAGACCTAGTCAAGTAAGTGTTACCGACGAGACCTGACAAAAGTGTTTTGAAACTGTTGTAACTCTAATCTTGTGGGTTTACAATTGTAACGGGAGTAGTTAACATGCATTTCAATGGGATTTTCACAAACTTAGACTTATGACAGTCTTGAAAAACTGGCCCATGGGGTATAAAAGACCAGGAGGATAATCTTTTATTAAATTCATGTAGTATTACCGGTAGGTCCTTGGGCCAAAACCCAAGACATTGACTGGTCTCAAGACATCACTGTCAGATTTCAGTAAAAACATGAAAGACAAACGGTTCCTTTGGGTAATAGTTTTATACAGTACTTGAGAATATTTAGAATCACAATTGCAGTACATAAATGAGCATGCATATTTGTGGATAAATGGAAGAATGAGTATGTAATCAATACAAGTCTCTGCAGCTCATAGAACATTATTGTATAATGTCCTGAAAAAAAATGAAAAGACATAACATATGTTTTTGTTATTATTAATCAATTTTCTTACCCATATCATCTGCAATCTATAAAACCAAGATTCCCAAAATAATCAGCTTTCTACATGCAATTATCACAGAAAAACCTCAATAGTATTAGTAAGCAAGTGTCATTTACTGATTTTTATTGGTTCCTTTAGATTTCTGTTTTTGAATATCATCATACTTCTCTATATCTTCCGATCCAACATGACGCACAAGTTTTACCTTGTACATATTCAAAGAGAAGAGTGCTGGAATACGATCTTGAATACCCATGCGGAAATAACTACGGTCCTTCTCCGCACTGCATACATAGTCGGGGAATAGGTACGGTGGTTCATTTAGACTAACGTGGGGAGTGAACCTCTTCACGAATTTGTAGGTGAACTTGACGTTGATTCGGCAGAAGAGGGCATCTATGGACGCTGGGGCTATGACGTAGATCTCTTTCTTGTACGACGAAGCCTCTGGAGATGACTTGTCGTCTCTGAGGAGGGAGCCGATCGTCTGGTGCATATCAAAGCGGTCCATCTCGCCAAGATCGTGGATGAGGAACTGGTTTTGGTGTTTCGATGATGTACCTTGGGGTGGCAAGGCTAAGAGGTATTGGGGTGGGGTGGGGGTGTGGTAGAAGACATAGTGGTAGAAGGTGGGTTTACCAACGACGGGTGCTGTCACTGTGGCTTTGATGTCTCCAAGGGCCGGGATGACCCCACCCTGCAGCACAGCTCCAAATACCAATCCAAACAATACATTCCAGACAATCCAAGGTGCGTTAGGCATACCTGTGGCAGGGTAGATCACATACTCTGCATAGAGGAGCACCAGAGGTATGATGAGGGGAAGCAGAAGCTTCGGATCTTGGTCAGGTAAGAGAGAGAAGACAAGAAGTGGGGTGGTGAAAACTAGGGCAAAGAAGGCACGGCTTGTCGATGTCGAAAATGTCTTTCCGCTCTGGGGCTCTGCTCCCTTGTACACCATGAAGATCTCCGATATGAAGCTGATGACAAGAGGAAAGAAAAGCAATGGAAGGTTGAATAGGAGATGGGTGGTTTTTGGTCTGATTTCCAGAGGGGCGTCCAGAAAGTTATACCGCAGGAAATTGAGGGGCGCAACTGTCAAGTTCTGCACCAACCCGGAGTTAAGGTTCTCGAGCAACAGCTGAGGGTTGAGGAGGATCTCCGCATCAAGGGTTCCATAGAATGTGGAATCCAGGACAAGTAAAAAGGTACCCATTGTGACGATACCAGGCAGCAAGGATGCCAGGTTGTACAGGACTGTTCTGAGGGCTCCGGAACCGAGCTGGGAGGCCGATCCTGTAAGCCAGAAAGCCATGGGGATGAGGTAATAGATGAAAAAGGATGGATGGTTAAAGACACCCTCCAAGACAAAGACTCCCAACCAAAAACCATGGTTCGGATCGCTCACCACCTTACTCTTCTTCTTCTGTTTCCCATCCTTGGATGGTGTCTTCGGAGCCAGCTGACTCTTACGAGAATCCACCACCAGGAGGAGTAAGAGAGCAAAAGTGCAAGTGCTGATGACGTGGGTCATGTTTCGGGTCATGAACACCAGGGTCGCGAACGAGCTGGCGAAGATGACCATACAAGCACCTGCATCTTGGCCCAAGATGGTTGCTATGTTATACACGCAGGAATCGCAGAGCAGAGACACAGCTGTGATCATCAAACGTGGTGCGATGAGGAGAGTTCGTTCGTTGACGGCAACGAGTCCCAGTTCAGCCAGTTTCCTGAGGAGGTGGAAGCCAGCGCCAGCCGTGATGTATGGGAAGAAGATGGTGGTCTGGGGTTTGGGCGTGTCGTAGCCCGCAGCAGCAGTGCTTGGGAATCCAAATATACGAGCTGAAAGAGCAAACATATCAACAGCAACCAGTTAATACAAGAGTCCACATTGTTTTCATGAGGGGTCCCAATTGAGAATTTTGAGTCTGTATGCATGAGCCCCTTCTTACCATTTTTTTTAGGGGAAGGGGGGTTCAAACTTTCAGCACAGACTTTGGGGCTACCATATATACTGGGCACCTGTAGGTGGAAAGCCCCGATTTACTACTTAAATTCCATAAAGTTTGTACAACCTTGATTGTTGTAAGAAAATGTATCGTAAAAGATCTTGTATTAATTTTTAAAAGTAATTACACTAACCTGTATTTCAAAAGTAAATGGTCATATAAAGTTGTCTTAAAGTAAAAGATAAAGTGATATGAAAAAATACTGAATCTTTTAATGTTTTAACTTCTTTTCCTAAATGATTCACTGAAAGTCAGTAAGTCATGTTGAAAAGTCAAGTAATAACATTCATATTGCCACATCCTTTTGATAAGAGAAAGAGTTAATTAAAATGTGGATATATTCATTTCAGACTCACAGGCAAGCTTGTCTGTTCCCTCAAAGAATTCAGCCGGATCCACATAACTTGTTTGAGGCCATATACACCAGATGAAGCGGAGCACCACCAGACCAAACCAAAGTTTGTAGACGTTACCCATTGTGAATTGTACGTCCTAAACCTAGGAGTAAGACAGAGTAAAGATGTGATGATAAATGCAATATGACAAAGTGAAGAAAATAATTGTATCTCTTTGTAGAGTTGCTGTTTGGTCTAGACCCATTTGATGATGATTACTATTAATGATCAAATGATTATTAGACCATATGGGAATAGACCAATTGGGTAGTATATGAATTGATTGTTGACCAAATGGCAATAAACCGATCTGACCAAAGGAGAAACATTTCAAGAATAACATGTAGTTTTTTAGCTTCTACCAACCTTAAATTTGTTATGCAAGCTTTCATCCACTCCTGTGGACTTTCTCAAGCTAAGTGATCAGTCCGAGTCACACGTTTGCTTCGCTGCACTGCCTTGTGTCCTGTGATCACTGGACCAAAGATCGGTGACGATAGGTACCCAGAGACCCTGTTCAGTGATGGCTTAATTCTCTTAATCCATAAGGACTCTTTCACCTTTCTTGCCCAGACGTTACTTTCAAAGTCTATTATGAGGGCATCCTCCCATCCGATTTTATGTCCTGTGTTGAGGGCGTGTTCAGCTAATGCACTACCCCCAGGTTTTATGGTCTTCCCAAGATTCATAAAAACAACGTGCCACTACGACCCATTGTCTCCTCCATTAACTCTGTCTAATATGATCTTGCCAAATATATAACAGTGCAGCGAAGCAAACGTGTGACTCAGACTGATCACTTAGCTTGAGAAAGTCCACAGGAGTGGATGAAAGCTTGCATAACAAATTTAAGGTTGGTAGAAGCTAAAAAACTACATGTTATCATTATCCCCAACTGATGAAAGTTTTCTGTATCATTTCAAGAATAAGACGTTACCAAAACTGTAAGAGAAAGGTTTTGAAAAATCTTTGTACATCGATCATCACATGTAGGCCTACAACCTTACAAGCTTACTTGGAATATAATTACAGATCTAGATTCTAGTATGAATGATAAAAGAGAGAGAGAGAGAGGGGTTGGGGGTAGACCGAATTTTTCCGTCTCTTTCGTTCGTTAGCCTCTGATTTGGGTAGGGTCGGCTCTCTCTTTAGAGACAGAACAGCCCTATACGCTTTAGTGTTCACGCTTTGTGTAAAGAAACGTTACACCAAACTTGGCAAAACTACCGGCCAAATTCCATATTTCACAGGATGCATATCTGGTGCATCTTATTTTGGAAATTAGGTAAAGGTTTAACTACTTCGGTTCCACTTACCAACTTGATTGAAATAATCCGTTTAATGGTCCGAAATTATGGGTCAAAATCGACATCCATGATAAAAATCTTGCAGCGATAGTTTAAACTCTCGCTGCGCATGACGTCATCTAAATCTTATTCCTTCTAGTCTACGCCGAAGGCAAAATGATTGTGAAGGAAAAAATGTGCGCGAGCTATGAGTTCGTAATGGCATCCTGTGAAATATGGAATTTGGTCGGTAGTTTTGCCAAGTTTGGTGTAACGTTTCTTTACACAAACGCGTGAACACTAAAGCGTAAAGATCTAGGGCTGTTCTGTCTCTAAAGAGAGAGCCGACCTTACCCAAATCGGAGGCTAACGAACGAAAGAGACAGAAAAATTTGGTCTAAGGTGGGGGAAGAGAGGGAGAGAGCTAACTTTAGAGAGATAAGAGAGGCCGGCTAGAGGGAGGGAGAAATTTCTAAATTTAATTTGCCACAACTTGTGCCTGTGCTGTGGGATTTAATTGCTGCTGCTGCTGTTTTTTAAACCATTGGCATTAGGCCTAGATATTGGCATTAATGATAACAAATTTTAAAAATGAATAGAAAATGATTAGCATCAGAAAAGGACGATAGGCCTTGGCTTATAGGCTTGGCTTATAAACTTGGCTTATAAACTTGGCTTATAAACTTGGCTTATAGGCTTAGGCCACGCCCCTCCCCCCCCCCCCCCCCCCTCCCCATAACAAAAATAAATGCAGCTTGATTGACGAGACACATAACACAAAAACATACACTAGGGGCTACATTATAAAAACACGGGCGTAAACAAAGCTTGTTTTATCATTTGTACTACTACTGACGTTTTTACGAAGTCACCGTTTGCAAAATAAAAAATACTAACTCCATAAAATACTGCGTAGATTAGTATTGAAAACAGAGCAAGAAAATGTATAACTTAATTACCCGTGAAACTTGAGCAAATTTGAAAACGTGTCTTCTGACCCGATCGCGATCCCAGGTACTTTACAACAAGGTCCGTCTGGCCTGGTAGTATAGTGAGTGATAACGGTGTTCGGTGTTGGTGTTGGTGTTGAGAGCGCGCAAAGGCTGCTGAACCGAGCTCCAACACCGACGGTCAGTTTAGAAGGACGATACCGATCACGTAATCGATAGCTCAACACCAGCGGCCTCAACACCGAGTGGCTGGTGACTTCCTACTACAGGCGAAAGCGTCTTGCGATAAAAGCATAATCCATTCTGAAATTTCAATAAATTACGTCATATCGCATGTTAAATGTAAAATCATTTTAAAAAATCAAAAGAAAAAATATCGTTATTCAGTGATTTACCTATAAGTTTAATCATTCAATATTATCTTGACTGTAAAATGGATTTTGCGATCGGTATGTGATGAGTAGCCGTAAGCGAACAGGACCCGTATTGCCGTAATACTACGGTATGGCTTTGTTTATAAACATGCATGCTCAAACTACTAAATCGTGAGCACGTTCATGCATCTTTTGGACATTTTTAGTGTGTTCATGATTAGAAAAATGTGCAGTCGTGGTTCAACTATACAATAAATTTATTTACAGGGGAAGAAATGCCTAGGTCAGGAAGTCTCCGATAATCTTCCTAGATCTAGTCCTACAGCCATTTTGTCAATCAATCAATTACATTTATTACAGGTAGCGTGTAGGCCTGGAGTCTAGGCCTAATTAATGCATATTTATTATTTAAAAAATAAGAAGAATATCAAATTTACATTAACAACAAAATTACATAGTCTAGATCTAGTCTACATTCAGTAATTAGTGAAATGATAGAAATAGTTTTATTTATTTTAACAGATCAGGGGTATAAAATGATTTGTCACAAATTGCTCTCAATTCTTGGCAAAAAGTTTTGTAGAAAAAGATGTTGGGGCATGGATGACAGTTGAGGAAGTTTACATGCAAAATCTTTTATGTTTCTTTTCAGACTTCTGATAGACAAATATTTACGATGGTTAATCTTTAAGGCTAGACTCTAGATATCTACAGTGATATTTTATGCAAACTTTTCATGAAAGTCAGAGACAAAAGAAAAGGCTTCATTATTATTATTATTATTATTATTATTATTATTATTATTATTATAAAGCGTCCAGACCATATTCACAACTCTCCTTCATCGATCATTTGCATGTGGTTCTTTACAAAAAAATCTTTAAAAAGGATAGCCTGTCTACACTCATACCAAGGTCTTCTGAATACAAGCATTACAAGTAAATTGAATCCTATTCCTAATCGTCTGACTTCATTTAATTAGATCTAGATCTAGACCTAAAGGGATCTAGACAAAAAACTAGCCTAGATCTAGATGATAGTAACTAAAACAAAGTAGACCTAGATCTAGATCTAGATCTAGGCCTAGACTAGTAAAACTTTGTTTGTCTGACTTTGAGTAGATTTTTCTATGACCGAGTCTTAGACCTACTGCAAAGGTTCGAAATATATCCTAAAATAGTCTACAGACCAGATAAAATGTAAAAACTGTTAAACTAACTCAGCTACTGGGTCAAGGTCTAACTAATTTTACTCTGTCATTTCATTAGCTACAGAGCAGTCGAGTCTCGCTTGCGGAATACCGACCGACCGGGCCGGGCGGGCTGCGCTCCCGTGCCTGCAGGCGAGCCAGCTCCAGCCCACGGCATAGATATAGGTCGTCCAAGAGGCCAGGTCAGAATCGTACCCGATTCGATTCCAGATGATCAGAAGGCTTAATTGCGCCAAAAAAAATATAGCAGAAATTTAGGATTTTCAGACCGTATCTGAGACTTACCTGGAGTTGACTGAACTTTTCCTCAAGATCACGAATATCTACCAAATACATCACATGTGAGTAACAGTTAAATCCATTGACATGGTTACGTGTCATTAACGATTTGTAGTATTTGTACTTGTAAAGTTCACTGAAGTGGGCGCACGTGTAGTAGACGTAATTAGCATAAGCAATGCAAATTTTATGACGCGTTTACCTCTCCGTAGTCTTTTCTCCCTGCTGTAGTCCGAGTGTATATAAATAGAAGCTGTTTATCAATGATCTGTGCAAGCTATTTTTACCCTATGTTGTCCTTGCGATAAAGACTAATATTTGTTTTTATCTCGGTTTTTTTTGTTCTGTTTTGTTTGTTGTGATAATAGAAAGTTAATGGAAGGTTGATCTAGACGAAATATTCATGTATGACAGGGTCAGGGGTCTAATGATTATTTTGTGTTTCAAGTAATTTCGGTGTAGCGTGTGGGTACTTGTACATGTAGAACATAAATAGAAATGAAAAGGATTTTAAAAATAAAAAGATCTAGAGTCTAGTCTAGATCTAGATTCTTTAGACCCCCTATATAATTTACTGAGGGTGCATGCTGCGAAGGTGATTGTTTGTTAGTCGTACTATCATGACAGTTACCCTCTAAACAACCGCTCCACCCCTGAAAATTACCCCCTGTTTATTTAAGGGGGACGTCTAAGTCTAACATTATGCTAAGCTTGTTGCCGGCCTTGGGGGGGGGGGGGGGGTTGATTGCCCGAGGGGGTAATTTTCTGGGGGGCGGGGGTAATAAATGTCCGATACGGGGAAGGGAGTAATCGTAATTGTCCTAGCACTCCTAGTCCTAGAAGTTCCTTTTTGCCTTTACACATTTTAATGGGGTAGGAGAAGGGGGAAATGAAAAAGGGCTGTCATAGGACTTAATTGTGTTCACATCGTAATCGGTGTAGTCCTCCGCACTTCTTAATAATTTAACGTGCTCCCAGTTTCTAATAAAGTGGAACAGTGGCGTAGACAGGTTCGTACACCTGGGGGGGATGACTCAGGGGCGGATCGAGCTTTTTGCTAAGGGGGGGGGTGACCAAAATAATGACGATGCGGAGCATCGTCCACGAGCCGCGAAGCGGCGAGCCGATTTTTTTTGGGGTGTTTATTTGAACCCCGTAAGTGATGTTTTCCTGGCATCTATTAACACAATGGAGACCATAAAAAGCAGTGCATGATAACGTCTTTTTAAATCAAGTAACAGTTAAATACACAGTTATATCCAGAGTTATCATGTGTTTGGTTAAGTTACCAGATGAGTTGAATATCTTCTCACAATATTTGCACTTGAAAGGGTTTCTCTCCAGCGTGCGTTCTTTTTTCTTTCTTTTTTTCTTTTTTTGTTCCTTTTTTTTCCCTTTTTTTTGTTTTGTTTGTTTT